TACACTCTTCTGAGACATTTGGGATATGCAACATATTTCTTTATTTCTGTAAATTATACCCTGCTCAGCTCCATCCACACAAGTCACCCCAAAGACATTTTCCAGAATTCCTCTCTTCTCCTTGGATCAAACAAAAGCTTTAGTACTTAGAGCTCTAGGGAGGTGGGAGGGACTGTCCTAATTCTTAGTACAGTGAATTCCAAGGTCAGCTATAGGGTCCTTCACCTAGACTTCCAAGGCATCAGCATGTAGTGTCCAGGACAGCCAGTCAACACAGAAGCCACCCCATCCATGTCCTGAACCCTCAGAGACTGCTTGTTAGACGGCATGCTAAGGTACTCATCATTCAGATGTCAAACGTTTGGAGGTGCCCAACACACCTGGGGATTATGTTCTCCTCAGTTCAGCCCCCCGTACAATAAACTCAGCTGCTGATGGCAATGAAAAATGGCACAGCCACTTCGGAAACTACTGTGGCAGTTTCTTATCAGGTGAAATGTACATGTATACTGTGACTCAGCAATCCTATTCGTAAGTATTAGCCCAAGGGAAATAAAAATTTATATTTACCCCAAAATCTGAAAGCAAGTGTTTACAGCAGCTTTATTCACAATCTTCAAAAATGGAAAACACCCCANAACATACTTTCTGATCTCAATGATTTTATAATATGAGGAAGGAGACAAACCCATGCATAATTTGAATATACCATAGTAAGTCCTATTAAGTCCTATAATAAAAGTGTGTAAAAGGTGCCACAATTTACTTGGCACTTTAAAGTTCAAGGGCACTGGGTCATATAGTAATTCTATTCTTAATTTTTTGAGGAACCTCCACACTGCCTTCCATAGCAACTCATATACACAGACAATAGTTCAGTGGTTACCAGAGGGTAAGGGGGGAGGGGTGTGGTAGATCAGGATAAAGGGGGTCAAATACATGGTGATGGAAAGAGAACTGACTCTGGGTGGTGAGCACACAATGTGATATACAGATGATGTATTACAGAACTGTATACCTGAAACCTATGTAACTTTACTAACAATTGTCACCCCAATGTCACCCCAAACTTTAATTAAAAAAAAAAGTTCAAGAGCGTTTTCACACATTTTAGCCTCACAAGAATCCCATGAGCTAGATGTTACTGTCACTAATCATTTCCAGGTCAGACAGAAGGAAGCTGAGGAGAAGTCAGTTGACCAAGATCATATGGATAACGGCCAGGATTCCGTCTCAAATCTCAGTTCTGTCTGTCCTTTCCTTCACTGTCCCTCAGTGTCCATACTGGAATATACTAGAACACATTCTTGTCCAGCTTGCAAATGCCTTACAAACGTCACCTAGATTGTGTCTCCCAGGAAGCATTCAGACACAGGAACCTCTCATTCTGTGGCCTTGGCCTAGCACCCTACTCTGCCTTCTCTCCCCTCTCTCACAGAAACCCAAACAAACTGCTGAGTGCTTTCCGATGATGTGGGGTTGTTTCAGGCCTTGGTGCTTTTGCGTGTGCTGTTTCCTCTCCACAATCCCTCCTCCTCCACCTCACCCAAAATCCATCTTCTTGTTCCTCCTTCTGCATGNCCCACCAGATTGTCTTCCTTTTCCTTCCCTTTGGAGACAATCCAGCCTAATTCCCTGGAATGGCCAAGACGTTTAGCAGGCAGAGACCTGCATAGAGATTGTTCTGTCCTTAGAAATGTCTCTGGTTTGGAGGCCTTTGACTCACATATAAAATCATAAAAGATATTCAAATGCAATTATATGGCTCCAGGAAGCAAAGGTCTACCCTTCTGGAGGGGAGACAAAATTATCTTTGGTTCCCTCTTGATATATCTCCAGCTGCATGGGGGGCAGGAGTGGGGAGGTAAACAAAACAAAACAAAAAAACAGAACAGTTTAGGGGTTGTCTTTGGGATTTGGCAATTTCTGGTTTCTTTGTTCTTAAACTTGAATTCCCAGAAGGGGGAGGAGTAGATTAAAAATTGCCTTTCATTCCTGGATGAGATGGCCCTGTAGAGAAATAAGACAATGTAACTTCTTGGTAAGTTGTCTGCTATATTGTATCTCAGGATAAAATGCCACGGCAGGATCTATGTGAAGGCCGGTCTGTGGGAGCCAGGGGCCTGCAGGGGCTCACAGACAACAGGGCGGGCAGCAGCGGAGACCCAAACAAAGTAAACAAGGCCAGTTCTTATAGGTATAATTCTCTGAAGAAAATCAATAGGGTGATCTGATAGGAAATAGCTGGAAAAAGGGGTTCTTTAGCTATGGCCTTTGTACATACCTAAAAAAAATGAGGCATCATAGGTACCAAGAGCACAGAGGACACTGTGACAGGTTGAGGGACCAGCAGGTGTGAAAATTCTGCAGAAAGAAGGAGCCACAGAAAGACAGCCAGGAGGTCCAGGTGTGATGAGCAATGGGGAAGAGGTGGTAGAGGTGACACAGAGAGGGCAGGGAGGGACCAGACGCTGCACTAATCCAAGCGGAATGAAGTCAAGGAAAGATTTTAAGCAGGAGAGTGACATGATCTGAATTACAGTAAAAACAAAATCTTTCTGGAGTTTTTTTTTTTTTTTTTGAATGCAAGTACTGATGGACTGAAGGCGGGGAATGAGTGAAAGCAATGAATCAGGGATCACGCCAACCTTTTTGGCTCAAAAATAGTGGTAAACCTAGCTAATTTTTTAAAGGAATAGAAATGAGGAAGATGTTTTATTCAATATTTAAAAAATATGACAGAGCTATTATTAAAATAATGTGGGGCTGGTATATTAATTGTTAAAGACTCATTTAACATGTATAGGATATCTGACATCACACTAAGTACTTTAGATGTATAACACAATTAATACTCATAGAAATGGTAAGACACACACCTATTAGCAGTATGTTATGGATGAAGAACAAAGTCACAGAAAGGATAAGTAAAATGTCCCAAGTTCCAGGGCTCATGGGTAGTCTAGTTCCAGAGCCCATGTCCTAACCACACATCACTTTACCCACGACTAGGCCAATGACACAGAATGTGGAATCCTAAAAAGGATTATGTATCTAAATCTTAGTGTATCATAAAGGCACCATAATAAATCAAGGGAAATTCATCAATAAGCATTGTTTGAAAATTTTCGAAAGTATTTGCAAACTGTCTTTAAAAATCTTTATTTGACACATTCATCAATATAGATATACTACATAGAGACAGATGAAAGAGTTGAATATAAAAAACCCCACACAAACCATAAATGTTAGAAGAAAATATTAGATAGAAAAGCATTTTCTAGAAATGAAAGAAATGGAAGACGTCACAAAGAAAAAATCAATAGGTTTATCTTCATAAAAATGAAAAACAATAAAACAATTCAGAAACAAAATGAAAAGTAAATTCCTTTCCTGAAATATTGTATCCAATTTACATTATGTTTCATAAGATTGTATCAATTCATACCCTCGCTTGCAGTATCTGTGAGTACCTGTTATACATGGCCAGCATCAGCCTTAAAAATTTTTTAAACATTTTCTAGATTGACAAGAGAAAATGGTAAACATCTGTTGTTATAATTAGTATTTTAAAAGTCTTTATTGGCCCTTTTTGTTTCCTATTTGTGAAATGGTTGTTTTTGCCCTTTCTCTGTGGAGATTTTATCTTATTGATTTGTATGAGCGATTTATAGGTCAAGAATACATTTTTTTTCATATTTGTAGAAAATGTATTTGCCCAGTTCATTGTTTATCTTTTTGTTTCTATTTGACATACTTTTTGTTCCTGTTGTGATTGATTATTTTTCTTTCTCAAGTCAGTTGTGTATACAGGAAAGCTATTGATTTTTATATATTTGTAACCTAGTACCTTATTGAACTCTTTTTAGCTCTAAGAGTTTTCAGCTGATTCTCTCTTGTGTTTTTTAAGTCTACAATAATATCATCTACAAAAAGAAGGGAGGGGCTGAGTGAGGACAGAAGGAAAGGAGGGGATGTTTTCTCCTCCTTGCTAAAAATAAAACTCTTAGTTAGGCTTGGTATGTTATTTATTTATTTTTTTTAGCCAGAATTTGCAGGAAATCTGGCATCAATAAATATCATAGTTTTTTTGTTTTCCTTATTCTAATGGGATTGCCTCTAGAACTTCATTCTTAAGTGTGAAGTTGGCTCTTGATGTGATATAAATATTAATGTTTATCTTAGTAACCATCTTTCTATTCTAAGGTTTTTGTTTTTTTAAGGATGTATCATGGCAAGATATCACTCCAATCTATCAAAGATGGTAACAGAAATTAAAGCAAAATTTTAAGCCTCAAGCAGAGAGTACACTAGCAACACCATATCCATTCAGTTTGAGAGAAAAAAAACCAAACCATCCTCAACTATTTTCTCTGTGTAATGGACAACTTTTTTTTTTTATTAGTCCCTTGATTTTCCTTTGGATAATACTCCTCATCCCTTTAAAAAAAATCAACTTCCTTTATTTTTTTAAAGGGATGAATACCCCTCATCCCTTAAAAAAAAATCAACTTCAAATAATTTAAATGTATTTATTTAAACAAATACATTGTATCTATTTAAATGCATGATTTTATGAATTTTAACATGTGGGCACATTGGTGAAATGGCCACAATCAAGATACTGACAATTTCTATCACCTCAGAAGTTTCCTCGTGTTTCTTTGTAGTCAGTCCACCCCTCCCTTTGTCCACAGCCCCAGGCAACCACTGATCTGGTTTTTTGTCATCATGGATTAGTTGATGTTTTTCTAGAATTTTATGTAAATAGAACTACTGTACAAACTCTTTGTGCCTGGCATCTTTCCCTTAGTTCTACTCCCACACTTAGTAAGGTGGATGTGGCCCCTTAAAAAGTAAAGAACCTTGGTGCTGCTGTAGGTAGCCTTCCTCAGAATGAGAGATGGGGGCCCCTGGAAGCACCGGGGATAATCTTTCTTCAGAAAATGAATGACTAGCTCCAAAGCAGTTATCAGAGGGGGTTAGTTACATCTTTTGTGTTTTGAGGGTTTACAGGTAAGAGTGTTCCTACTCCTGGTATTGCGTTCTCACTCTCTGGGAAGGAAAGGGGAACAGATGTTCTTAATCCATCAGGGCTCAGACTCCAGAAACAGTCATGAGCCAGTGCCCCCTGGAATTCTGGAGATGGCCATGTTGTGTGAGCTGAAAGGACTGACCTTGGAGACATGGGCACCCAGGCCCTCCTAGAGGTGGCCACTTGTGTGAGCCAACATTACAAACCATGGACACCTATCACCTTGAAAATCCAGACAGGAACCCCAAGGCCCTCTGGGAGATCGCTACATGTGCAAGCTAAAAGAAGTGAGTAGGGAGAGCTACCATCTTGAAAGCCCAGGCGAGGGCACCTTGGGGATTTAGGGAGGTCATATGTGTATATTAGTTTTTTATTGTTGCTGTAACTACCACAAACTTAGCAGCTGAAAAGAACACAAATTTATTAATTTACAGTTCTAGAGGTTAGAAATCCAAAATAGGTCTCACTGAGCTAAAATTAAGGTGAGCTGTCTTCCTTCCGGAAGCTCTAGGGAAGAATCCATTTCCTTGCCCTTTTCAGCTTCCAGAAGCTGCAAGCATTCTTTGGCTCATGACTCTCTTCCACCTTCAAAGCCAGCAATCACCAGTCAAATCTTTCTCATGATGGCATCCTTCTGGTTTGGACTTTTCTGCATCTTTCTTCCCCATTTAAAAATCTTTATGATTGCTTTGGGCTCACCCAGGTTATCCAAGCTAGTTTCCTTATTTCAAGGTCAGCGTATTAGCAACCTTAATTCCACCTGCAATCTCAATTCCCTTTTGCCATGAAACATAATATAGTCACAGGTTCTGAGGATTGGGAGTGGACATCCTTGGGGGGACAGGGGTATTATTTTGCCTACCTCAGCGTGTAGCCTGAAAGAGCTGACTGCAAAGAGCCCACACTTTGAGAACCCACATACAGGCGTCCTGAGAATTCAGTGAGCTAGCCAGCGGCGAGTAGACCATTGTGAGAACCCATGCGCAGTCATCCTGGGCACCAGGGAGATGACCGCATGTGGGAAGTAAAAAGCATGGGGACATCCTCCCTTGAGAAACCCAGGAGCCAGCCCCAAACATGCCACAGCACAGGACCAGGATGATCTATTCAACTCCATAGGGCAGTTGCCAAGAAATTTCACAACCAGCTAGGGGAGCACCAGAAAGCAGGGCAGTTGTGGGCAGTCCAACACCAGTGCTCTCCCCGCAGTTGGAGGTGGCAGTTGGACTTAGCTCTTTTTGCATATCAAGAGTGCCTACAACAGCTCATGTGGAAAGGCAGAGATATTAAGCTTTCTGCCAAGAAGATAAGTGAGTACTTGAGGCAGAATTAATGAAAACAAACAGAACATGATGAACGTAATATCGAAATTTTAAATACAGACAAGATCAATCCTGCACTTAAGAATAAAAAAAAGAGTGAATGGAGAAATTCCTATTAATCCTGAGGATTAATACGTGTAAGCTTAATACCTGTAAGATGACGTTTCAACCTTCTGGGTAAGTGAGGCAGCGCTGGAAGTTCCTCGTTGGTTATGTTGTTCAGTAGCTGATGTATAAGGATTCAGATACGGATCTTGCCTTCAAAAACGAGCAAGAAGATGTCGTAGTAGTTTCTGAAAAATTGTAATGATCGTTCCATTTTGCTAATCCCATTTTACTTGTTGATGAATAACTACGTGGTTTAAAGTTTCATTTTCTGTGGAGAAAATTGGGAAAACATAAAATACAGACAACAAATTTTACACAGATATTTGAGGGAGTCTTACTTTTTGGAATGAACATTTGAGCAGTTCTGCGGTCAGATAATAAGATGAGCTCTACTAATCGTCACTGAATGAATGACGTTCTTCCTGGTAAATTCCCAAGGTGCCAATATCCATGAATGAAGAGAAATGTGTTCCGAAAGGAACTGAAACGTGGCCCTCATCTGGAGACTTCAAGGAATTGCAGTCACATATATTACACCACCATCTTTATCCCTTGGTAAGAGATGCTAGAGGTAATATGAAAAAGGGGTCTCTGCTTGGTGCCAGTCTGTAGGGCATGGCATCTCTTCAGATGAGCCATCACCTCTGCACTGCACATACTTGCTTCTCTCTTTTGACCCGTGTCACGGTACAATCTTTGATAGCTCTGTAGGCCTCACCTACCATAGCCTCCTGTGGGGCTCTGATCATCTTATGAGATCACAGCGATCTCTTCCTGGTAGACTCCATATGCAGGACTGGCCCTTGATATCCTTAATATCTTCAGTTACTTCGGTGAATAGCCCTGAGGGCTCTAAAATGGATAAGATCCTCTGCCTGACTCTTGTAAAAACTGCCTGAGGCTTCTCCAGTCTTCCTTACAGGCCTTATCCTGAGATTATTGCTTAGAACACCCCCTTCCCCTCAGGACTTTTCCTCCTGTTGCTCAGATGCTGCACGCAGCTCTCGCGCAGCAGCACTGCTTCTCTCCGCAGACTCCTTCTCTCTCCACGTTGGCCTCTGGTTCTTGAGGGAAACAGAGCTCTCAGAAACTTATTTAGGGCTGGGCCCTTGACCCAGGCGGTTGGCCTCTGCTGGAACACTGTGTGTAAACATAATTAACTTATTTATCCTGGAGATTTTCCTTAAAATTTTAATTCCCCAGGGAAGCCTTCTCTGATTGCAAGACTAGCTTGGAGTCCCATGCCGTGTGCTTTCGTACTATTCTGTATTTCATAGCATGTCCCCCAATTTGTGGTATTATGTTTGGATGGTCGTTTGTTTAATGTCCGTATTCCCCACTAGAGAGCAAGCCACGTGAGGGATAGGACTGGGTCTGTTTTCTTGTCATTGCTACTGCTGGGCCCAGTGCAGTCCGTACCTGGCAGAGTTGGGCCTGAATAAATATATTTTGACCCAATGAAGTAAAGCAGTAATGACTAAATGAATGAATGAGTGAATACAGTGTTTTCATTTACATAATAACCAGAGTCCAGGCAGCTCTCCTCAGTTTAGCATGATGGTTAGAAACATGGGCCAGGTCTATTTAGGCGAGTTATTTAGCCTACCTGTGCCTCTGGTGCTCATTGGTTGAATGGGGATAATAAAAGTGTCTTAGGAGGATTTAATGAAACTGTACATATGTGCTGTGTATATGTCACCAAACCCTTACAAGAGTGCTCAGCATATGTAGGCACTAAACAGTATGTACCAGCCCCTTAAAAACCACCTCTCTGCAATCCTGAGATTTTCATGACCACCACATTCAATGGTTGCTATTCTAATGCACTTACCCTGGCTCACATTAGTATAAATATTTCATCTAATCTCTGTATATTTTTAGTGTTTATTATCCTGTGTCTCTAAGTTCTCCAGGGCTGCCTTATCAGCCCAGGCAGCAGGCACAGTGCCCAGGGCCCAAAACACTTGCAGAGGCCATAGAAATGTTTTAATTGCTTCTGAAGTATAAATGGGGGAGAAAAAAAGAGCTTTTAGGTTAAAGAAAATGTTTTAATATGTAATAGTAATTTAATATTTGCCTTTATACCAACACAGTCGTAAAAAATATACTTTTATATGTGTATGTGTGTGTATTATTATTTATTTTATTTTATTTTATTTTATTTTATTTTGGAGGAAACAGCCTTAGAAGGCAACAGTGTCCCAGGGCCACAAGAGCCTGAGTGCAGTCAGGCAGTTCCTACCCTGACTCGACGCCAGAGCCTTTGCTCTACAGCTAAAAGAAATAAGAACAGGGCCAGCCGAGTGGCGCGATGGTTAAGAACTGGCTTGGGACGCCAGAGGGCCCCGGTTCGGATCCCACATATGAGGGCCAGTGACACTGCCCTCCACAGCTAAGATGCTGAACAACAGCTTGACCTGGAGCTGGGCTGCTGTGGGTTGCCGGCGACGGAGTAGGCTGCAGCCCCTGTGGCAGTGGGTTGCCATGGGCTACCGTGTGTAGCCAGCAGCCAGCGTGAGTGGCCAGCAGCCGCCGTGAGCGGCTGTCCAGAAGCCGGCGACTGATCTGCCTCGCCCAGGAAAAGCGCAATGATGGTGCCAACTTGGGCCAGTGAAGCAACGTCCTCCACAACTAGACTGAAGAACAAAACAACAGCAACTTGTCTGTTCCCCTTCCCCCAATTCCCCAGCGCTGTTCCCCTCCCCCAATTCCCCAATAAAATCTTAAAAAAAAAAAAAAAAGAAATGAGAACAAAAAAATGTGTGGCAGCGTGACAACTTCCGGGCACAGTATGACTGTTGATGGTAAGGGCAGGCTGCCCACTGAGAAAGGCCATCCCGGCAGTAGGTAGTCTTTCTCTGCTGCCTGTACCCTGGGGAAAACACATGTGCTCAGCTAGAGCCGCGTAGGGAGCACGGTGCTCCCCTCTTCCTGCTGCTGGTCCCTCAGCACTCCCACTTCTCCTGGCCCACAGATTTCCTGCCCACAGGCACGCTCCTCCACCCCGGCTCCCGGGCGCTTAGTCCCCTGTTCTTCACCTCCGAGAAGGTGCTGGTGTTTCTCAGACTGCTTCGTTTCTGTAGCCATTCCTTTTGATCCCTCCACTTGCCTTCCTCTCCTCTTTTCTTTCTTTTCGCTCATTATTCTTGCACAGTGTGTGCTTTTCTTTGCCTTGTAGTTTCTTTCTGAATCAAATTTCAGGCACTCTTTGTTTCTCCTGTTATCTATTATTTTCCTATTAGCTCCATGCTCTTGGAAGTTCTTTAAAACTACCCCCTGTGCTCTGACCAGCACAGCCCAGAGGAGGCTGTCCCCCTCAGCAGGGAGGACCACGCAGAGGAGACTGCTGTGTGGCACAGACCTCTGCTCCCTGAATTTGGCCTCCATGCACAGGCACTAATTCGATCGCTCATTTTTCTATGAAGACATTGGAAAGGAGTGAAATAGAAGACGCACGTGTTGCACATCCTGATGCTTACCTGCGTGTCGGGTCTTAAAAGGACCTGGCAGCGTCCGCTGTTGTGCAGAGAAAATGTGGGTCCTCGTTTTGTTTAGTGCCAACCTGTCTGCTTCTGCAGAACAGCACATCTTCCCACTCCCTGCCCCATACGCTCCCCAGCTGGTTGGTGGCCGAAATCAATTGCCCAATATGGACTAAATGGAGACACATCCTGTCAATGAGGCAGCCTCTTTAGCAAATATTTAGGCTGTCTTTTGGGTAAACACGCTCTGAGTCTCAGATGCTGCCCCAGCTCCTGCTCTTCCTAAAGTGCTGAGGGGTTGGGAACAGGAGACTTAGGTGTGTTCCCCAGGTGCTGGGAGAAACAGGTGCCTCTGCCTCTTCTGATCCCGGGGCACCAACACTTGTCCTGTTGGTGTTCCCAGATGAGGCCTGAAGCTGCTGTAATTCATGGTGTGGTCTCTGCTGGGCCCACCTCAGCTCTCACTGGTATGTTCTGAGGTATTTACCTAACAGACATAACAATACTAGTCACACTTAGATGAGGCTTAATATGTGTTTGGTGTGACTTAATTCTCATAACAAGTCTGTGAGGAAGATGTACTGTTATCACTCATATCCAACGATGTGGAAACCGGGGCACAGAGATGTTGCCTGACTCCTCCGGGATCACACAGCCTGTGGTACAGGAAGCAGCAGGTATGGGAAGCCCGGTGGCCTGGCTGCCGATTCCATGTCTGGCTCTGGGCTCTGCTGCCCTTCTGCCTCTTGTGCCCGGCGGCCTCCTCCCTTCATTCCTCCTCCTATTTCCCACCCTCACGCCAGAAAAGTCAGGGTTTTATTTCCCCCATGTCATACGCTTGTGACACCATAAGCTGGTTCATTGACCATATAAAGAAGGAAGTGGGTTCAGTTTGTTTTGAACGCTTTTCTTCTGCGTTTCCAGAGAGCGGCTCTGTGTTGATGACAGCTGTGAGGCAAATGTTTCACCTCTTCCATTGTCCACGTCAGGGGACCTCTGGTAAGTGCTGAGGCTGGCTGGTGGCATTCCTCCAACTCTCCGATGGAGTTACGAATGTATCCTGGAGACAGCCTCACTCAGACGTCAGCGCCACCCTCGGCAGCGAACGATAGCCCTGAGAGGACAGCAAAGCAGCAACAAGGAAGCTGGCCAGTGCTGGCCTCCTGCCCTCTCCTGCCCTGGAGATCAGGGGCAGTGACCCTGGTAAGTGCCCGTGAACCTGTGAACCCACAGCCCCGGTGTCTGCACCACCCGCCATGTGGCTTCACAGTGAGGCACACCTGTTGCTACAGGAACCAAGACCTCATCCTTGCCCTTTCTTGTCGGGCACCTCATGATGACCTCAGACAAACAGGATGGACCAGGGCTCCCTGACAGTGTTTCCCAAAGAGCCCCCTGGCCCCCCTAATGAACCCTGTGAACCCAGGGAATCTGTCATTTCTCAAGTATCTGGATCCTCTATGAAAACCGTTAAGTCCAGAGTTTAAGCCTCAGTGTGGTGTGGTCCCATTACTCAACTAGCAATAGCTTTAAGCGCAAAGACTGTGGGTTTGTAAAGCACTAGCTTATAAGATGTGAAGTGTCCCCTATTGCATACAGGTCTCTCCATAGGTGACCATGTTTACGATATGCCATAGATTTCATTCTTTCTGTATTTAACAGAAGGCTATTTAGAGTAGACTCTCTTCTCCCTCTTTATTTCCAGGTAAATCTATTTCCTATTTATTCCTAATCCTGTATCAGTGGTCCCCACCTGGCATTCCAGGATTCTTATGTATCCTTAAGGCACTACGGAAGGCCTTTTATCTATTTTCAGTATGTCCTACAGAAAGAGTAATTTTATGAGAAGGTTGTACTTACTCACCACAAAACATTTTATTGCCTTCAAATGAAATGGTGAATGACCAAACTTTCAAACTGTGGGGTTCACGTGGTCAAATCATGCTTGATGAGAAGATACAGCCCTGCTGTTGCATTGTTACCCAGCTATGTCTATTGTACCTTTGAGAGTTCAAAGTCTCATTGTCACTGTGAAAAATGTCTTATGCACTTAGTACACAAACCTCTATTTCAAGGGATGCCAAAGTGCAGTGATTAAAAGGTCCATCTTGTTCAAAGGTGCCTTGGGGGTTCAGTGGGCACTGGGATCCTAGATCATTCTAGGATCAAAGACTAAATAATGAAAATCGCCACCCACTTTATCACTAACTGGGGTTGGTGATGCACCCTGGTGGTGCATATTCAGTGGGTTCTCTGATACCTCTCTTCCAGGAGACCCTGGGAAGATGGGGGCCCTTATAGTGCAGCTGTGGTCCTGGGGAGCCCCTGACACTGCAACACAAGGGTGAATGCCCTTATACCTGGGGTGACAGTGGCAGCTGCTTCTCCCATGTCTTTGCAGAGATAGGAGAATGAGGGCAACGAATGAATACTTTGTGTCATTTCCTTTGTTAACAAAAATTCCAAAAGAATTCAAAGAGAAGTTTAGTCATATATGGTTTGCAAACCAGGGACACAGCCCTCTGTATGAACCAAAGACACGTTCCCAGGTGACGGGAGAACAGGGTTTTTTTTAAAGTCATAAGTTATCAAAGAGATGGGTTGCCAGGGGAAACAAGATCAAGAACTTACTATTATTCATTTTCGGATTGATGGGGGCAGCTGGACTTTCAACAGTTGGCTGACTCAGTGGGCAAGCAAGTGGGGCTGTGAGATAACAATGGGTAGTGTATGATTAGCCATTTGTCTACACCCTAGTGAAACTGAAGGTCCTTATGACTGATTAAATCTAGCTCTAGAAATCATATCTCTGTCTCTCTCTCTCCCTCAGAGACTTACCCTTTCCCACAGATAATCAGCAACCCCTGAGGCAGCAGAAGACAGTAGCCAGACCTGACTAGTGGTCACATGGTCTGGACCTCTGGCAGCTAAAGATAACATCTTAACCTAAGTTATGTTTCATTTCTTGAACCCTAAGGTGGAACAACTCCTAGCTACTTTCCCATGAAACCACACAGAGGGACACCAGAACAGATTTCAGAGCTGTCTTCAAGACCTGAAGAAATGATTCGTCACCCTCACCTGACCTCGGACCAATCGGCTCCCAGCACCACCCTAACCCTTAACCCACAGTGTCCTGTGATTTTTCCTGTAGACTCTGTAACCTACACTCCACCGGGGAGTTAGGGCTTTTGGGCATTAGCTTCCTGTTCTCCTGGATGGCACCATTCGTAATAAAATGGCCAATCTTTCTCCACTGCAATTCTCCGTGTTCAGTGTTTGGTTTTGCTAGCACCAGGCAGGTGGATGAATTCCTTCTGTTGGATAACACTAGTTCTGGTCCAAGCTTGTAGGACAGAAGCTTTGGGGACACTTACCAACAGAAATCAAACAGCACAGAGTCTTTGTTTTTCAGGCAGTTTCCAGGTCCCAGGAGCAGAGTCATGCTATGTAAGCGGCCTCAGAGTTCAAACTGCAAAAATCCAAATGTTGGGCCAGATATTACGATATTCAAGTTTTTTTTAAGTCCTCACCTTCTTTGTTCTTTCATAACACTTAATAATTAGAACCCCAGTTCTAACTCAATGAAGGACTTCAACAATCATGCCTTGAGCGTCACTGTTTGGTGCCAGGCTCTGCTTTAAATCAGGGGCCACAGAGGTGAAGACCACTGTCCTGTGCTCACCGCCTAATGAGAAGCGAGATCTCTATCTTCCTAGTCACAAGACAACCTTTGGAATGTTGTATTAGAGGTTGGAATAAGGGGCTCATAGGAACACACAGGAGGGAGTAAAGCACCTGGGAGGGAAGGTGGTGACAGAAAGCCCAGAGGAGGTGACATTTGAACTGGCCCATTGAAGGATGAAGGGGTTATGTAGGAGCAGAGGGGGTGGGGATTCTGGCTTTACTCTGAAAGCCTAAGAAGAGATGTGAGCTTTGATGATGTCCCTTGATCAATCATTCCGTTTCTGGGTTCCTTTCTCAAGCCTTCATGTTTCTTAAACGCTCATCTCACTGGCTTCACCTTGGTTTCTAACGCGGTAGTTCTTCAAGTTGAGAGTCTGGACAAGAAACAGCAACAAGGATTTGGTTTAGAAATGCAAACTGGGGCCCCAATTTGCATTGGAAACGCTTGGAATTTCACTTGATACAGACTCAGGCACCCAGAGTTGTTTTCCGTGCCTCCAGCTTGGAAACGACTGGATGGCTCACTCGAGGTTCTCGCCGTGGGCTCCTGGTCCACGGTTCCACTCTAGGTTGCTTTCTCGGGAGGTTTTTGCACTGGTCGTGCAGTTGAAGGAGAGAGGTTCTCCCGCCCACAGGTATCTGCCCGCGACGGATAACCCGGAGCCTAAGCATTAGGGTGTAACTGGCCTCATTACTTATGCAAATGAGCCATGCAGCCCGCCCGGGGGCATTCCGCTCCAGCGCCCCATAGCGGCCGCTCCCACCCCGGAGTGGGTGGGTGCCTTTCTCCAAGACAGCCCAGTCAGGTGACAGTGGCGGAGAGGCGGAAGGACGCGAGCGTGTACAGGGCCTGGGACGGCGCCGGGACATGCTGCCCCCGGAGCTGCGGGGGCTCGCTCTCGCGCTGCTACTGCTGCTGCCGCCCACGCAATGTCCAGTCGCGGGCACCGCGCGCTTCGATCCCACCTGGGAGTCCCTGGACCGCCGGCAGCTCCCCGCTTGGTTCGACCAGGCCAAGTTCGGCATCTTCATCCACTGGGGAGTGTTTTCCGTGCCCAGTTTCGGGAGCGAATGGTTCTGGTGAGTGCGCCTCCCTCTGCATCCTGACACCGCTTTGTCCCCCGGGCTCCAGTCACCACCCAGCCCACGGCCTCCTTGTTTTGCTCATTTGTCACTTTCGCCTCCCACGCTGTTTTACCAGCGTTGAGAATTTCCGGTTGTTACATGTATAATTTATTGCGTAACCGGCTCGTCCTGGATCAACACTGACTTTTCCCTCCGTGTGACTGCAGTTGTTGTCAGACACTTAATGTGGCTTTGGCTCCTGAGCTTCTGGATAGTTGCACTTGTCAAGTTGTAGTTATCCCACTACAGTATAGCCGTCAAACGATTAAACCTGCAGAAACTAATTGACCTGTGTCGGGTCAAATGATGTGGGGTGAGCGTGGGCCTAAGCTGCCCCTCGACACTCAGACTCTATGTCCCATTTGCTACCTGCCAATTTTCAATCGTTCTGCCATGAAGTATGGTTAAAGCATAAATTCATGGGTACGTGAGACGTCTGTTCATTTGGACATACACTGGCTCTTTAATGTTAAAATGTTACCATGTGTGCCTCTAGGAAGTTTTTTTAAAAAGGTTATGAATCTTACCCTAGTAAAACAAGCCTTAATTATTAATAGATTACTATAAGAAAGGTGCTGCACAAAATATTGCTCTTTGGATTTTTCTTTGAGACCTGTCAAAAGGTGCATGTAATCTCTTACAACTTTGAAGTGTTTCAGATACCTTTCCTGATTAAATACTTCAGGTACTAAATTCCTCAAGATAGAAATGTAATCAAATATATATGTGTGTGTATATATATGTGTGTGTGTGTGTGTGTATGCACATATATACATTTACATATACATATATACATGCATACACATATACATATATACATATACAGAGGGTGCCAAAAAATGTATACACATTTTAAGAAAGGAAAAAACTATTAAAATTTAAATACTCAATATATACCCATAACAAAAGATGAATACAAGTCATGCATATACATTTTTTTGGCACCCCCAGTATATGCATACACACACATATATTCTTAAGTAAAATAAAAATAAACAATGAGTTTATTTAAATCTACTTTATACTATATATTATATAATACATCAAATTTAATGTAGATACAATATAGAGTATATCGTAAACTCTATATTGTATTAACATTACATAGTATACATTGTACCATTGTCTATAAAGAGATTGTCTTTCTGCAACCACTAATGTTTGTTATAAATCAAGTCAGTTGTGTAGCTCTGTATGGAGTACTATTCATCCACTTTTTTGAAATCAACTGGTTGTAAAACAAGGGATTATTTCTTCCTATACCATGTGTTGCCAAATATATTTATTTCAGGATGTTCTAAACCTCTCTTTACAAGTTTTGTGCTGTAAGGCATTTTGAGGTTGGTTTTGAAATGTTTCAGATGAGCTAAGTACATAAATGAACAGATTTCCCCCCTTTTTATTAAAATATAATACATTATATTTTAAGTTATCATTTTGTTCAGCCCTGAAGATGAGGTAAATATACATCTGGTGCTAGAAGAGGATTTGACATTTGTTAATTGAGACTGGTGCTCTGCCAAAAACACCTAGTTTTGAGTAATTTTATTCTTTGCAATGGTTGACTTTTCATTTTCTACAAATGAACACAGGGTTGTTTGTTGTGACCTAGAACAATCAAGATACTTCTCAAACAAAACAGAGTGTATTTGTGATGGTCTGGACATGTATGAACCCTGTAAAAGATTCTTTAATTATCTATGGTTTCCCTTTGTGTCCTTTCTAAACCTCTGCTCCGCATCCTAACGTGTCTTGTGGGCAGTCCACAGTGGTGATGACTGTCCTTAAGGGCAGCTCAAAGCCAAATATAAATGATGGACTGTTTAAGTGCCTCTTTTCACATCTATTAGTATGGAATTTGAGAAGTGGCTCTAGACAATATAGAGAATGAAGTTTCAAATTAGACCGGCCTAGGAGAAAATAGGAGACATCCCTTATTCTTTTTTAACTTTATGACTGTCCCAGTTTCTTTTTTGTAATTCGATTTAAAAGGTAAAAATGTGTCATAGATTATTAGAATACTTACACTTCAAGGTATAGAAAACCCAAATAAAACGCATAATAATAGGGGCTTGTTGTCATACATAAGGAGAAATTTAGAGGTAGTTGGCTTACTGATGAAATCAAAGACATAGGCTCCCTCTGTGTTCCTCAGCCTGTTGACTTGTTCCTTCATGGTCATATTCATATGATGGTGGCCAGGCATCACTTCCCACAAACTTGTCCAAAGACAGGAAGGCTGGTTTTTCATATTAGCAAGGAACCCATTTCCGGAGTCTCCCAAGTTGGCTTCCCCTGAAATTCCATTGGCCAGCATGGATCATGTGTCTATGTCCAAGCTGCAGTGGAAGCTGGGAAATTACGTGTGTGACTCTTGAGCAGGCAAACAATAGTGCCTGTGACATATGTCTTCAATGAAGTCTTCTCAGCAGGAAGCACCTCCTGGTCATCTTTGGGGATGTAGTGCTGACTATGGATTGCTCATTCTGTAGAAAGACTCTTATGAAAGGAGTGGTGGTGGAAAAAGTAGAAGATGGGTCAGAGGTGGGGCTTGTGACTACTTTCTGAACATAGTTACGGCTGTGTTTATCTACAATGTGTAATTATTTTTTGATATAGTTTCCCTCATGAAGGCTTGCTTAGTAAGTTTAGGCCCCATTGCTCAGAATAGATGCATATAACAAGTAATCCTTGGAGGTTGAGTCAATCTGTGAAAATAACAGCATCTTCTTACTTTTACTATTGCATCTTCCTCCACTTGTTCTCTGCCGATGGATCCGTGTTATGTTTTAGGCACCCACTCTTCCCTGTGAAGCCTTCTTCACATATGTTACAAAGATACTTACTACATGTTGTGATTCAAAAGTGGGGAATTAATAGCGAATGGGTGGCTGGGTTGTCTAGAATGTTCCAGTTTATGAGCTGAGTGGATTTCACAGAGGGATAGATGGAAACAAGGGTAGGTTTGGTTTACACAAGCTTCTTTCTTTAAGGCAAAGTCAAACTCATGGGGAAGTGCAAAAGAGAATTCGGGTAATGTTTGAGTAAGGGGGAATTAGTAAAGGGAGCTGGCGCAATTATTCCAAATGTTTCTGTGTATGCTGTTTCCGTTCCTCTCCTTAGGTGGTACTGGCAAAAGGAAAAGATACAACAGTTTGTGGACTTTATGAAAAATAATTACCCTCCTGGTTTCAAATATGAAGATTTTGGGCCACTATTTACAGCAAAGTTTTTTAATGCGAAACAGTGGGCAGATATTTTTCAGGCTTCTGGTGCCAAATACGTCGTCTTAACTTCCAAACATCATGAAGGTAAGTAAGTGCCACATTTGCAAACACTGACGATGGTTATGAAATGTAAAGTAGTTCTTTAGGAGGAGAAAACTAAAGCAAGGTCATCCACGTGAAATCAGTTTTCTCTTAGGAACAACCGTAAGTGGTTACTGATTTTGCTTATAATTTAAGGGACCACATGTTCCACTCAATTAAGAGGCATGAGGTATGCAGAAAAATCATACCCTCCACATAACAGAGAAAAAAAATGAAAAGAATCACATTTTGTTCTATGCATATTTAACAGTATTTCAAAAATTTGATTAATGTTATCTGAAGTGGGATGTGGGTTGCAGGTCAAAGTTTACAATTAGAATTGCACTCTTTTCTTTCATTCCACCTCTGAATGCATTCTGGGAAGGCACCATGGGGGTTATGCCACTGTAGTTTTGCATCATTACCGACAGACATGGCTGTGCTTTTGGCCAACTCTTACATGGCCAAATGGTGGACAATTTGCTACTGATGAAAGTGACACAGACCACCTGAAGGAAAAGGGTTATGGAACTGTAATGGTGCTCAGAAGTATCAGAGATGGTGGGAGACTATCTAGAAGGAAACAGGGATGGTTGTATTGGGGCTCTCCAGAGAAACAGAGCCCAAAGGAAGTATAATAGATATAAAGAGATTTATTATATGGCATTGACTCACACAAGTATGAGAAGTCCAGACCCAGGAGAACCGATGGTATAGTTCCAGTCCGAGTCTGAAGGCCTGAGAACCAGGACAGGAGATGAGGTAGGTTTAGTCCAAGTCTGAGTCCAAAGGTAGGAGAAAAGCAATGTCTTAGCTGAAAGACAGGCAGAGAGAAAGAATTCTTTCTTACTCAGCTTTTTATTCCATTCAGGCCTTCAACAGATTGGATGAGGCCCACCACATTGGGGAGGGCAATCTGTTTTATACAGTCTCCTGATTCAAATGTTTATCTCATGCAGAAATACCCTCATGGACATACCAAGAATAATGTTTAACCAAATATCTTGGTACTCGGTGGCCCAGTCAAATTGACGCATGAAGTCAACCATCACTGTGGTCCTACATTCATGGGATCGTTTCCAGCCATTACCATTTTGGTATTTATAAGATCAAGGAAGCATCAAGAAATTGTTATTGTCTTAACTTCATGTTAAGTCATCTGACAGTTTCCTCTGTTTGACGATCGTTGCCTTGGTGTAAGAAATCTTGCCTCATTGTTTTCTTCAGTGGTGAGGAGGGAAGTAGAGGAGAACCAAAGCCACAAACCTGGAATAATCTTAGAATATCGTCCCCTTTGGCCACATTCTAGTAGCTTAATGATTTTCTCCTATAGATGTTTCTCCTGCTTAGATGGATATGTGTGAAGTGTATTTGCTTGTGGATGTGTTCATTTCCTGCTCTAGGAACTTCTGCAAACTGTGGGTCACAAAGTATTACATAGCGAGCTTATTAAAAGAACAAAACAACTCTTAACCATACTGTGAGGACAGATGATGACGCTCATGTTTATAAACTTTCCAAGAACCCATGTTGTCAGATGTTTTCACTGCTTGTGGAAAAGACCTTGCTGAACTTAGGCGGGAAGACCTGCTGTGTGAGGTTATGGTTGTAATGCTGAATTGAACACGCACGTGATTTTAGGACTGCTAGACACGGGGGCCTCTCACGTTGAAATATTTTGAATAAGACGTTAAACATCCACAGTGCTTTGAAGCTTACCACAGACATCTTTGGAACAAGTGTGAGTTCTTTTAAAAGCTTCTTAAAAAACAAATCTAAAGGTGTCCATCTTAGACTTGTCCTAATTTACAAGCCAAGTGTTCCACCAAAAGCACCTTATCTATATGACTATTCTCAAAGATTCTCTTAGATTCCAGTGGGATAATAACAACCTATCTATGTTCCTAGGCACTAACGAAGAACTTTAAATGATTTCTTAATGATTTCAGTTTATATATTGCTTCTAATATTTTTATATAGAACCAGCCATGGAAATGCAAATTCCTTTTAAAATATGAATTATTTCAAAGTGCTTGTCTAGTGGTACACATTATTTTTCTCCACCATTTAGTTGGTAGGTAATTCACTTTTAGGTAATTGAAAGAGCAACATCTAAGCTTATGACTTTAGAATAGGATGAGATTACTGAGAATAAGGTCTTACCCACCCCCACCCTCCACCCCTTGTTAAATGAATAATGAGACTAAAGGAGATTTACTGCAATGCATGGATGACCAGTGTTCTAAGAATCACACTATAATTATAAATAAATAATCCTAAAACCAGGGAATGTACTTTCATCTCAGCTGTGACCTGCTAATGTTGATGGTTGATTTCGTGTTAGACCCAGTTGGTGGGGGATACTGCAGAGAACACTGTAGCCATGCTGTTCCTCAAGGAGCTTCTATCCTAAGAGGGAAAACATGGTAACTAGATCACACTGTACAGACCGTATGGGTACACTGAGAGTTGCTTTCAAAAACCTTGGTTGTACCTTGTTTAAATTCTCATTTGTTTCTTGTATAAAAGCAAACTATTTACTGAAAAAAAATTGGCATAAAACAGTTTTTTGTAGAAGCATTTATTTTTTTTTGAAGATTTTTATTGGGGAATTGGGGGATGGGAACAGACAAGTTGCTGTTGTTTTGTTCTTTAGTCTAGTTGTGGAGGACGTTGCTTCACTGGCGCAAGTTGGCACCATCATTGTGCTCTTCCCAGGCGAGGCAGATCAGTCGTCGGCTTCTGGACAGCCGCTCACGGCGGCTGCTGGCCACTCACGCTGGCTGCTGGCTACACACGGTAGCCCATGGCAACCCACTGCAGCAAGGGCTGCAGCCTACGCTGTCACCGGCGACTCACAGCAGCCCAGCTCCAGGTTGAGCTGTTGTTCAGCATCTTAGCTGCAGAGGGCAGTGCCACTGGCCCTCATATGTGGGATCTGAACCGGGGCCCTACTGCTCAGACCTGACGTCCCAAGCCAACTCTTAACCAACGTGCCACTTGGCCGACCTGAAGCCGTTAGTTTTATATCACGCGTATGATCAAATCTGTTTTGGCGTTTGTGTAGGCGTTTACTAAAACAAATTCGTACACTTAACGCAGGTTTTCCATATAATTGTGCAGGCTTCACCTTGTGGGGCTCCAAGTACTCGTGGAACTGGAATGCTGTGGATGAGGGGCCGATGAGGGACATTGTCAAGGAACTCGAGGTAGCCATTAGGACCAGCACTGGCCTGCGTTTTGGACTGTACTATTCCCTTTTTGAGTGGTTTCATCCGCTCTTTCTTGATGATCAATCCAGCTCATTCCAGAAGCGACAATTTCCAGTGTCTAAGATGCTGCCTGAGCTCTATGAGTTGGTGAACAAGTACCGGCCCGAGGTCCTGTGGGCAGATGGCGATGGAGGAGCACCTGATGGCTACTGGAACAGCACAGGTTTCTTAGCTTGGCTGTACAATGAAAGGCGTGTATGCTATTAGATTGCTGTAGTGACCTAAAGGTTCTGAGTACAAGCATAACATATTTATTCCCTTGCTTCTTGAAATAGTTCCTTCCAGGCTCATATGTGGTATGCAGGAGGAAATCATAAATAATGCTTATTAGGCATGTCAGTATTTACTCAAAATCATCAAGAGTTACAAATCAGGAGTCAACTACAGCTCAATAGTCTGATTTTGAAATCAGACTAGAAATCACAGAATCCAGAATTTTGAAGACGTTAATTTTGTGGGTCCCCATTTTCATCTATTCTGGGACAACTCTATTCGTGACTGTTTCTGATTGTGTGCTTTTCGATTCCTCTATGCCTCTTTTTATCCTCTTACCCTTTGATAATCTTTGCTGCCCGGTCAACGTCCCCTTCCCTGTCTCTTTTTCCTTCATCGTCAGCATTCTCACCTTTCCCTGTTCTCTGCTATTGCCTTTCAGCATGTTTCATCCTGCTCCATTAGCACAGGGAGTTCTGATCAAGCTCCCCTATTAGGCTTAAACTATATGTAACAATTTATATTTATAACCAGAAGGTACTTGATATTGTGCTAGGAAGCCAGTTCTACTTCGGCCCACAAAGGGTGCACATACGAATACTCTGGAGAGCTCTTGAGACTTAAAATAGCAGTTCCTCCAGTTACTCCTTCCTACGGAAAGACTGGGAGCCATCCACATCAGTTTGAATCACAGCAAATTCCATGATGGCAATAGTCAACTTTCCTGAGATTTTTTTTTTTCCAATACTGGCACAATTGTAAGAGAAAAAGAAAGGCCTGAATGTATGTATGAGATTGTTCAGTCATAGGTGAGACGACATCTTGATTGTAAATTCGAGTTTGTCTGTCATTCACAATATGGGGGGCAGGCTTCAAATAATAGCACAATACTCTTACAAGTGCTATGTGGCTGGACGCTGGGCTAGGTGTTTTATATAACATTTCTGTTCAAGTAATACATGAGGAAATTGATTATTCGGAGGGGTTAGGTAGCTTACTCTAGGACAGTGAGCTTGGAAAGCGACAGGATTGAGACCCTCCCAGGTCTATTTGACTTCAAAACCATGAGCTTTGCATTATATTAAGCTATGGTGAATTTTCAGATGTGAGTTTCCATCAGATCTCTTCTCAGTGATATTTCCTTTTGTGTAAAAAAATTTTACTTTTTGTTTATAGAATGTATTCTTTTCATTTCAGCCCCGTTCGGGACACAGTGGTCACCAATGACCGCTGGGGAGCTGGTAGTATCTGTAAGCATGGTGGCTACTATACCTGCAGTGACCGCTATAACCCAGGACATCTTTTGCCACGTAAATGGGAAAACTGCATGACAATAGACAAGCTTTCCTGGGGCTATAGGAGGAATGCTGGAATCTGTGACTACCTTACAATTGAAGAATTGGTGAAGGTACCCTAAAATGTCTAGTGACTACTATGGTAATATTCTTAATGGTGTGGGTGTGTGAGAATTATATTTTATAATTTGTGTAGCTCAATGGCCAATAAACACAGGATATTATTGTCTTCCATGTTTGTTCTCCTAGATAGTGACTACATACGCATGTATAAGTCCATGCATATAACATATTAACACACTCACAAAGGAATCGTTTTCTCTCTCTAAAAACTATGTTTATTCTTAATTTTTTAGCAACTGGTGCAAACAGTTTCATGTGGAGGAAATCTTTTGATGAATATTGGGCCCACCCAAGATGGCACCATTTCTCCAATTTTTGAGGAGCGATTAAGGCAAATGGGGACCTGGCTAAAAGTCAACGGAGAAGCCATTTACGAAACCAATACTTGGAGATCCCAGAATGACACTCTCACCCCAGATGTGTGGTATGTTATTCTTGTTACCAAGCACTATTTGATAGGGGAAGGCATTTAACATTTCTCCGAGAATATACAGAAAGAGAAAAGTAGGGTACAAAAGGAAATTGGATGAACGCCTATCTATACAAAACATTTTCCAAACTTTATTTACTGTAAAGAGAAGGAAGGAAAGAAATTAGCATGTTCTTGAACACTTTCTGTTTAGTGAGTTGAGCTTAAATCATCTCTAGATGCATCCTAATGGTGGACAAATGATAGTGAGACGTAGTCCGCTCTCACAAAAGTAGTAAGCCATTCAGAAAAGTAAAAAAACGCTGAGTGGTTAATCCACCAGAGAGCATTCTGTTAAATCAGTTAAGTAAATTCTAACTTTTGCAGATGTTGTATCATATCATATTAGCAAGCAAGAGGTGCCAGAGGACAGAAAAAAATATTAAAAATCAGCTCAAGTAACAGCATTATTTTAGTTAATTAAAAATTATAACTTGCTCATATTGTTCAAATACATCTAAACCTGAGATTTCTTTAAAATTAATTATCTTAACTTGCTAATTTTTCTTTTTATGGTATTCTTTAAAAGCCTTGCCTCAGACTTCTGTCTGAACTGTGGAAGGTTCCATGTGCCAGTACCTGAATCAGACTCTGCAGATATGATGGTTTCTGATGTGGGGTCTTAACATATATAAATAAGAGTGAACATATATAAAAATAACAGGTGTAACTACCCACCATGACCTTATGATCAGATCATCTAGAAAAGGTTCCTTTCCGTAGAATGCCTTTTTCATCCACAATAGACTCCTGGGTGCATCCTTAAAATCCTTTGAGATTTTGGTCCTGGCTCACTGTCACTGTCCCCAGAACTACCCTTAACATGATTTTTAATGGCTTAATGTCTACATTTACAGTTCTAATTTGCTGGTCCTCCATTCCTGTACCTCTTCTCTTTAGGGATCTTGTCCATTCTGTTCTTGCCACCCCTTGTTTCAGTCATACTCTAGACCTGAATTACCAGTAATTGCACTCCTTCCATGACCTTAACTTGAAGCATTCTACTGTTTCTTATATTTTAGCTCATTCCACAAAGCACTTCAGCTTCCAAAGAGATCTGTAATCCATTGATCATACCATCTTCGATCCTATCACGTTTCATCTGTCCTTCATGTCTTACCCTCTCATATCTTCTTCCTTACCCAGGTCAGATTCTGTAGCTGGTTACTCCATTGCAAACTCCTTAACTCTCTCTCCCTCTGTCATACTCATTAAAATCTCAACTTTGATTAAATCCAGCTCTACTTATTCCATGCCGTCCCCTGGGCAGTTACCCGCCCCTCACGTAAGTAAACTCACTTTTGGCTTTAAAGCCAAGGCCTGTGTGCTGGGTCCCATCTCACATTATTCACTGAAGGACACTGTTTTACCAATTCTCTCTGTTTTCTCCTCATCTTCAGTTTTCCCTCTTTATTAGATACTTTTCCATCATATACAAATAATTCATTTCTTTCATCTTAAAAAAGTACTCTTTTGACCCTACTTAGGTTTTCAGTCACCTTTCCATTTTCTCTCATTTCCTTTACAGTAAAACATGGTAAAATAATTGTTTTTACGTGTTGGCTCCGATTTCGTGCTCCAGTTCTTCTCTCGGGCCCCCTGTAGTCAGGCTGTGGCCCCCACACTCCGCAATGTCACTGTTACCACGGCCCACAATAGCCTCTTCCTTTCCGAATCCAGGGGCAGTTCCCAGACCCTCTTCTTTGAGCTCAGGGCAGCATTTGCCTCAGTTGATTGCTGTCTCTCCTCACCTTCATCGTGCCTGTTGGCTGCTCTCTCGTAGTTTCCTTTGCTGGTTCCACCTCAGGCTCTCAACCTCTAACTCTTGACGTGCCTGAGGCTTAGTCCTTGGACTTCTATTCTCTGTTTATCTTCATTCCCGGGTGATTCCATCCATTGTCATGGCTTTAAATGCCATTCTGATGACCTCTACAATGCAGACATCTTTTCTTCAACTTTAGACTCCTGTATTCAACTTCCTAGTCAACATCTCCACTTGGAAGTATTGGGTTGTCCAAGTCATGACATATTTTTTTCTATGTTCTTCATTGCAAAAATGCATCATGACTTTTCCGACAACCCAAGATAAGCATCTTAAACCTGTTATGTCCAAAATGTAGATCTGATTTTTAGAGTGTGTCACATCCTGCGTGGCAAGGGCTAATGGGACACGAGAGGGCGACGCAGATTGAATAAGAACAAGAGACAAAAGTAAGATAAGAGCGAGACCAAGGGACTCAGCCAGAGAAGACTGAGCCCCGAATCGTGTCAACGCATGGCTTTTATTGAGAATTTTCAAGGAAGTAAAAACTGCTGTAAATTAGTAAACGTGTGTTGTTGTGTGCCTTAAGGCTGTTTTCCATTAATCTATCCCCATTGTATTCCAACAAATGCTATGCCTTCATACATCACTACACAGCCCCAGGACACTGAGGTTACTGTGTCCTCCCGTAATGGGGAGATAACTGATATTATTCCATCAGGTCCCAGTCATACTGAGACACCCCCCGGAGAGAGCTTTACCGATATCATTTCACCGGGCCTCAGTCATACTGAGACAATCTCTCATGACTAATAGGGTCAGGGGCTAATGCAGCGGGGGTGGTCTTGGAATCGGCTGTAAGGCAACAAGAGTGTGCTCTAAATTAGCTCCACCCACCATCTTGCTCATCCTCACTTAATGGTGGCTTCATCCTTTTAGATGGTTGTCAGGCCCAATACTTTGGTGTCCTTAGCTTCCCTTTCTGTTACATCCCACAGACAACCCATCAGCAAATATCATCCTGTTTATTTTTGAAACACAGCCAGAATCTGACCACTTCTCATTCTCTTGGTGGCAACCCTCCTCCTTTAGTCTCTGTTGTCTCTTCTCTGGATTATTCCAGTAGTTTCTTGACTTTTTTCCCATCCTTGCCCCGTCAGTTTATCGGCCACAAAACCTTTTAAGTAATAAATCAGATTATGTCGCTGCCATACTCAAATTCCTCCAGTGGCTCCTATCACAGAGAAAAGGCCAGGTCTCATAGCGGCTTACAAGGCCCTATGAAAACTGGCTCTTTTCTGTCTCTGTGATCTTGTCTGCTCTCAGGCTGTCCATCACTTCCCCTTCTCCAGCCACCCTGCCCTCCTTGCTGTTGTATCAACAGGCCAAGCATACCCTTGCATGGGGACTTCTCTGTCTGTCAGTCTTCCTCAGACTCATGACTCTCCCTCACATTCAATGCCACCTCCTTAAAGAGGTCTTCCCTGACTCTTCTATTTAAAATAATACCCCAGATCACTCCTTTCCACCCTAGCATGCTCCATCCTTCTTACCAGCCTTCAGTTTTCTCCATAACTCTTAATCATCACCCGACATATATTTATTTGCTCATTCCAATGTCTCCTACTACAATGTAAGCATGGCATTTTCTTGGAAAGACTTCTTGCTGATGGTCTAATCTAAAGAGATCCCTGTGTTAAAATCTCTCAATTTCCTTTTCTTTCATAGTACTTATCAAAACTCACACTTTGACATTATTTGTGTGATTTTTTTTAATGGCTGTCTTCCTCACTCTAGTCTAAGCTCCATAAGAACAAGAACTAAGTGTCTGGTTTTCTACTGTATCCCTAACACTAGGCACAGTATTTGGTTCAGTGTTGATATATGCACAGCTGTCTGCTGAACAAAGGAATACGGAGCTTCGAGTCAGCAGGTGGAAAGCCATCTACTCTTACAACTTACCCCCTTCACTCACGTTCCCTGCCTATTTCAACTCTCTGAGAACAGTCTGCTGAAGCATAGTACTAGAAAAAGCCTTGTTCTAAGAACTTCTTTTTAGTGCTGGGGAAGTAGGGGGGAGGAAGGTGCAGTGGTATTGTTATTTATGATTAGAAATGTATTTCTGACACAGAGCTCCTAAAACTCTGAGAATTTCCTAAGTGAAGAGAACGAGAATGGTGTCTTTTGTTATGTGAATGAGACGACTTTTCGACCAGCACCAGAGGATGAGGGCTGGTTGCCAGGAGACCCAAATCTCCTAATTAGAGGTTTGAAACTTTCAGTCCCCCTTCCCCACCTCCAGGGAGGGAAGAAGGGCTGGAGGTTGAATCCATCATCAGTGGCCAATGATTTAATCAGTCATACTTGTGTAATGAAGTCTCCATAAAACCCGGACATGATGGGTTGAGAGCTCCAGGTGGGTGGAAAAGCCTAGACCGTGGCACATCTGGAGACGGTATGGAAGCTCCACACCTTTTCCTGTGCCTTGCTCTATGCAGCTCTACCACCTGGCTGTGCCCGAGTTATACCAGGCTAGAACAGACTGGTAATCAGCAAGTAAAATGTTTGTGAGTTCTGTGAATTGCTTTAGCAAATCAATTGAACCCAAGGAGGGGTTCTTTGGAACCTCTGATCTACAGCATGTGGGTCAGAAGCCCAGGTGACTACCTGCACTTGTGACTGGCATCTGAAGTCGGGGGAGTGGTGAGTCTTCTAGGACTGAGCCCTTAACCTGTGGAATCTGACACTATCTCCAGGTAAACAGTGTCAGAATTGAATGGAATTATAGGACCCACAGGTCATGTCTGAGAATTGCTTTGTGGTGTGGGGAACCCCCCTTCCCACTCAGCGGAATTGGGATCAGTATTCTTTTGGGTGCTACGTATTAATATTTACATTACCACAGGGGCTGTTTTTCATTCCCTGCATTAATGAAGAAGTTGGTAACTATTTACCAAATGGAAGTATCTGTGTATATAATTCCAGATCTGACCCATAAATGAGAAATATTACTATGCTTTCCCCCCCCTTGTAAACAGGTACACATCTAAACCTAAAGAAAAATTGGTCTATGCGATGTTTCTCAAATGGCCCACATCAGGGCAGCTGATTCTTGGCCAACCCAAAGCTACCCTGGGGTCAACAGAGGTAAGAGGGAATTTTATCTTGACTGTTCCTTTAAATTGTTGACTAGAATATCCTGATGAAAGCATAACGTTTAACTTCAAGGGGAGCCTTAGATGTATTCCTCTTATTACTCATTAAGAGTTATTTTAAAATGAGCTTCATCAATGGCAATGTTTGGCCAAAACCTTTGAAAAATTTTTTTCATTTCCCAGAAAACTTACAAAATAGCTACATTATCTCCATGCATATCAATGTAAAACATTCTTCTTCACCGTCATTCTATATTGTTCAAGTTCACCGTATGTGACCCAAATGATTCTTTTCATAAAACTGGAATTTGGATTCTTCCCCTGACATCCCACCCCAGAATACATTTGAATAAAAGTAAGATGTCATGGCTCTACTAAGTTCATAAACAATTTGGAGAAAGTTACAGGTTAATCTAACAGTTGTAACCACTACGTCTAGTATTGAGTTCATTCTGATATATTTTATAACTTATTTTTAAGAAATTGACAATTTCCTTAGAGGTGAATTGTTCATATGATTCTATTTGCATCATCTTTTCATATTTTATGTCTAACGCTTGTGGCTGATCAGGCAGAAAAGAAGATGGAGTTCAAATCTGATGTTTAATTACAGCTTAGTGGCCTGGGTATAACATTATCTTTTTATTTTATCAATGTTCTCTTTGGCCCTCATTAATACTGTTATATAAAAGTTCATGGGTTTTGTGTTTATATTGCTATACATGATAGGCAAAGTTTTCTGGTTCAAAATAACCACAGATATGTAGAAAACTACTTATTTAAATTCATTTCGTATAAGACTAAGGATATAAAACAATTACAGTAATAAATGATCACAATTACCTATGGTTGATTGGAAAATCTGGGGAGGAAGTCTGGCTGGATAAGGGAGGGAAGCCTCTCTGCAAACATTCTGTGTGAGAACGGAATTTGGGCAGATTGGTTCCCGAGTCATTTTCCCCGATCCTCTCTTCAGCATTTTCCCTAGTCGCACGCTTTATTCAGCCTTCACAAGCCTTCTTTCCCAACTCCTGCACATGTTTATTTGAGAGTAACCTAGGAGCAAGAATATAGGAGCAAGACAGATGTATGCAAAACTCTTTGATCAAGGGTGAAAACAGCTTGTGACCACTAAGTAAAAAATGAGTCTTCTGTTTACAATGCTTTGTAAGAAAATAACCACTCCTTCTCAATAAAGTAGGTGAGTCAAAGAGATACAGTTGGAGACATTTGTATGTTTTTAATTTCAGGTTGAACTACTGGGACATGGACAGCCACTTGAATGGACCTCTTTGGAGGTCCAAAATGGCATCATGGTAAAACTGCCACATCTTACCTCTCATCAGATGCCCTGTAAATGGGGCTGGGCTCTGGCACTAACTAATGTGATGTAATGTGTGCAGCAGAGTGGTTCATGCTGCAATTACATCTCAGACTACAAAATATCACGTTTCTATAATTGTAGCACACAGAGAAAACAAATGTAAAACAGGTAAAGAAAAGTCAAGTAATTATTTAGGCAATGCAGCCCTTTTCCTTCTTACTCCCTAAATGTTTTCCTAAATCACACATGTAACTATTTTAACTCTCCAGTGCACTTGTAAAGGGGTTCAGAACAGGCCTCCCCAAGATGTGTCACTTTGACATTGTGAATTATTTTGAGCTGAAAGTAATCAAGATCCTGTCGGCTCACGAGAAACTTTTACCTCTCCCTTAAAGAATTTAAATTTGGGGCCTTGCCCGTAACAAGAGTTATCGCTAGAAATAACTTTTTATGCCCTGTCTATAGGGCAGGGCAAACTTCTAATTACTGAACATCTGATTTTCTTATCGTCCTGTCCTGTGAATGACCTTCCTCTCCTCTGAAGCCCCAGGGTACCTTACCTCAACCTTAGCTCAAAATCCCACCTAAATCTCATTCTAACTTTCTGTCTTTGAACCTCTCATATATGTGGGGTCTCTGACTCCCTCATGTATGTGAGGTTCCCACACATACATATGTAATTAAATTTGATTATCTTCTTTTGTTTGTCTCATGTTAATTTGATTAAACCAGCTGGAAGAACCTAGAAGGGTAGGGGAAAATGTCTCCCTTCCCCACATTTGCTATTGAAATCTCTTCACTTGAATTTAATTCCATGTGTGATTCAGAAGTGGAAATTTTTGTTTTAGAGTAACTAGGAATTGGTGGTGTTAAGGACTCAATTGTATCTCCTGCCAAATTCGTATGTTGAAGCCCTGACCCCTAATGTGACCGTGTTTGGAGCTTTATAAATAAAGAGGTAATTAAGGTTAAATGAAGTCATAAGGGTGGGGGCCCTAATCCAGTAAAACTGGTGTCCTTATAAGAAGAGGAAGAGACATCAGGATGCAAGTACACAGAGGAAAAACCATGTAAGGAGACAGTGAGAAGGCAGGTCATCTGCAAGCCGAGGAGAGAGACCTCAAGAGAACCCAAACTTGATGACACCTTGGACTTTCAGCCTCCAGAACTGCGAGAAAATAAATGACTGTTGTTTAAGCCACCCAGTTGGCAGTACTTTGTTATGGCAACCCTAGCAGAGTAATACAAGTGGTAGGTATACAATAAATTTGGTCTAATATATATTTCCAGTGTTTATAGTAATTGTGTTTTTATATAAAAAAATTGTCTTCTTGGTAATAAAACTGATATATGTTCACTGTAGATATTTTAAAACATACAAAAATACTCAAAAGTAAAATCACTGTTCGGATCACCACTATTAACATTTTAGTACATATTCATCCAGATTTTTTGGGGAGCTGTGGAGAGGGTGTGGGTTTGGAGGTGTGGGCCTATTTTTGTAGGTGGGCTAATTTGAGGTCCAATTTAATTTAATAAAATTGCTTCCTGTATTTGCCTTCAAGCAAGCTAAAATTAGTTAAAAATTAGGAAATCAATTCAGATCTTCCCTAAGAATAAATCGAAATAATGAAGCAAAAATAATATTAATTTTTATGTAAATTTAAAGAAACACTGATTAACTGTTGATTAATCTCAACACAAGATGTTCAATATGGCCAGATCTTTATTTGAAGTGTTACAGCTTCCATTTTGTCACATTAATCAAATGCAGATATCTCATCGTTTCTAAAAAAAAAAATGCTTCAAATAGAGTGAAATAAAACTATTCATATTTAGTTCCTAAAATCATGCTAAATTGAAAAACTTAAAAAAAATTACTCATTGAATTTCAAATTTTTGAAACCATGCCAAAGTATTTACATGAATAAATACTTTAATAGTTCTAAATCTCTATTAACATTTTATTAGAGATACAACATGGACAGATTTACATGATCCCAAACACTAGACTAAGAAAAAGCAAAAAAAAAAAAAGGAAGAAAACTCAAGCTCAAAAACAGTGTTATAGGAATCTTAAAAATAGGGTCATCTGTTTGAAGAATTTTTGAGACTAAAATCTGTCAACCACTTAGATTCTTACCCTGTCCACCTTTACCTTTACACATTGAGAATAAAGGAGAAAAGTGGAAATAGTTAAGCAAATTATAATTAGATGTAGGTAATGAGTAGCTATGATGGAGCTAATTGACAAAATACAAACCACCAACAAAATGAAAAGACAGCCCACTGAATAGAAGATATTTGCAAATGATAGACCTGATAAGGGATTAATATCCAAAATATATGAAGGACCCATAAAATGTAATACCAAAAAATTCAATTAAAAAATGGGCAGAGGACCTGAATAGAGATTTCTCCCAAGAGGACATACAGATGGCCAAAAGACATGAAAAGATGCTCAGCATCATTAATCATCAGGGAAATGAGAATTAAAATCACAATTATTACCTCACACCTGTCAGAATGAGTATCATCAATAAATCGACAAATAACAAGAGCTGAAGTGAATGTGGAGAAAAGGGAACCCTGTACAATGTTGGTGGGAATGTAAATTGGTGCAGCCACTATGGAAAACAGCATAGAGATCCCTCAAAAAACTAAGAATAGAGCTGCCATATGATCCAGCAATTCCACTTCTGGGTATTTATTCGAAGAAAATAAAAACATTAATTTGAAAAGATATATGTACCCCTATGGTCACTGCATCATTACTATAGTAATAGCCAAGATATGGAAGCAACCAAGAAGTTTATCAATAGATGAATGGATAGAGAAGATATGGTATATACACACAATGGAATATTGTTTAGCCATAAAAAGAATGAAATGTTGCCATTTGTGACAACATGGATGAACCTAGAGCATATTATGCTAAGTGAAATAAATCAGACAGAGTAAGACAAATATTGGATGAGCTCACTTGTATGTGGAATCTAAAATAACGAAAGTAATGAATAAACAAAGTGAAACAGAAACAGACCCACAGAAAGAAGCTGATGGTTGCCAAAGGGGAGGAGGGAAGGGGGGTGGAATGAGAACAAAAACAAAATTTAAATAAATGAGAACATACAGTTCAGCATTCAGGAGCACTGATAAAATGCTGTGATAATAACCAGGCATGATATATGAAAATATGAGAGCCCTAATTTAAATTTATTTAAGGTATATCTTGCTTATATGTGAAATGTACAACAACTGGGTCTCATAACAAGGATTTAAAACTATTCCAGCAAATTAGAATTATCTGTGGCACGGATGTCAAGAATTACAGTAAGAATAATGAAAAATAAGATCGCTCATGAACTGTTTTAAGCCAATAGTTTTTATCCCCCCAACCATTTAATCCTTTCTCCAGAGTAACTATGAGGCACAAAATTGCCTTGTTTGAATTTCAGTAACTTTTGATTTTTCTTTAATTGACTAGAGAGATATTGAAGGTAAACCAAAGTAGATTGTTAGACTGAATAATCTAGACATTGATATCATTTGAAATATGGACATCACTTTAATAAGATTCTGTCTCATTTTCTTAGGAGTGCCATAATGAAGCAACACAATTACTCTAAAAGGTCAGGCTATTCAAATATAAATTAGACAACAGAAAACAAGACAGATGTTTCACCTTCTGTTCAATTTTGTAAGTAAAAGATCTTGTTAGATAAAAATCTTCCTTAACTTTCAAATAAATAAATGGTCATACGAAGTTTTTATATACAGAGGGTGCCAAAAAAATGTATACACATTTTAAGAAAGGAAAACTGTATTAAAATTGTAATAATATGTAATGATAACAAAAGATGAATACAAGTCACGTTTGACTTCTGCAATTACAAGAGGTGCTCAAGGTGGTTCCCATCAGCGTCAGGACACTTCTGATTATGATGTTGACCACAGTGTCCACTTGTATACATTTTTTTGGCACTCCAGGTATATACACAGTAATAAACACATTTTACATGTTTGAAGGAGAAAAGTAAAAGCCATTTTAAGTAATCTCCATTTAACCAACTCACTAGATTAACTGATGCTCTCCTTGAAAAAGCAAACTGATTGATGGCTAGGGCAAGCTGCAAGCCTTTAGTTAGCTGGCTTCTGTCTGGTACACCCTTCATTTCGATTCCCACTTGCTGCAAAGTATGTTTACCAAGGGTTAGTTGAGCTTGTCATAGTGGGTTGAATACTATTATTATTGAACAATATTTTTGAATATTCCCCAACAATTCACGTCCACCCAGAAGCTCAGAGTGTGATCTTACTTGGAAATCGTGTCTTTGCAAATGGAAGTAAGGTTAAGTGTTGAGATAAGCTCATATTGAATGTGGGTGGGTCCTCCATAAGACCATCCTTATAGGAGACAGACGAGAACGCAGACACAGAAAAGATGAGCATGTGCAGACAGACAGAAATTGGCGTTATGCTGCTACAAGCCAAGGAAGGCCTGGGGCCACCAGAAGCCGGGTGAGTCAAGGAAGGGTTGGAAGGATTCTAACCGAGCGCGATCAGAGGGAGCATGGCCCTGCTTGCATCTTGATTTTGGACTTCTAAGTGCCAGAACTGCGGGAGAATAAATATTTCTGGTGATTTGAGGCACCGTTAGTCGTGATTTTTTATGAAAGCTCTAGGAAACTAACACACCAAACTGAAGATAAAGTTGAACTCTTTCTTATGATTACATAAACTGGTGACATGTATGTGTGAAGAGTTGTAGCTTCTGTGAAAACCAAGTTGAATAGAAAGTCTAGATAAAAATGTGTTACTTTTTTTTTTTAAGGTATTGGTTATTTAATTGTAGACAAAACAGTTCTAAAAAGGCTTGGGGAAATATGTGTAATGTAATGCATGTAATTTGTATAAAGACGGAGAAGGTCTATAAGCAGACCTGCACTGAAGAGGTAGAAAACGCCTCATTCCTACATTAAATAATTGCCAAATAAAAAATATATTTTAAGCTAAAATATCTAAGATGTGTTATTTTTTATGATACCCTGCTTTAAATGTTTTATATTAACCGAACAACTTAAGGGACCCAGACGAGGGCTCTTACTGTACTGTTAGAAGACAAATTTGCAATGTCCAAGGCCAATTAGCTTCAAGTCATTGGTTTTTACCTTATCACCTCTTCAATTGCCATAAGTCTATAGATGCAGATGATTCTGGGTGATAATTTTCATTTTTAGTTGATCAGCTTTCTGTTCTTACAAGGCCACACCTGGTTCAGTCTCATATTTTCCTTGGATGAAATCCTGGGTTAATACTGCTGGAAGAGATGCCCTATTACACACACATTCACTAATTTTCAGAAATGCAGTCTCTCTGTCACTTTTTCTATTAGAAAAAAATCATTACATTCTGCCACATTTTGAAAAGAAGCATTTGCTCTCCTCTCCACCACTGCATTTTTTTTTTTAAACATTCTTGACACAGACTCCCAAGCAGTTGGCTTCGGGCCTGGCCTAGCCTTAGAAGAGGCTTCACAATTCATTTTCTACCTTCCACTATTGAGCTATATGTTATGTTGGAGTAACATAAAATGATATTACTGAAAATATTCTTATATTACTGATACATTATTCATTTATCTTTGCCCTAATTATCCTTATAAATACAGCACTATAGATTTACTAGAGACAGTGAATTATTTCTTTTCAGAAAGAAATGCTATTTACTATTTTCTAAATAAACAAGTTAAAAGAAAGCAACAATTATATCACCAGATAAAGTGAAAGTTGAAAGCTAATATTTTCCCAAAAGTAACAGCAAAAATGCTATGAAACAAATAAATTAATAGAGTTGAAGTATTAACTCAACAAAACCATATTTTACTAAAATATTTTATTGCAATAAGATATCCACTGCTCAAAATCAATACAAAGTAAGTTATTAAAATTATTTACATACAAATGAATGAAACTATGTAGTTAATAGCTGTGAGTGAACAGCATCAACACAATTTTAGCCTCTAAATCACTATATAATTTTCTAAGGATTGTAAACAATAGTAAAGAAAAAAATCCCGATCATGGTTGGTAAATTCACTGATTTCCATAAAAAGAAAAGTCCTCCATCAGGTACATTTAAGACAAACAATTGATTCCTTTGAAGAGTAACTGGAGGAAAGTCTGATTTACACACCTGTACACTACAGTCCGGTGAACTTTATGATTGGTTAAATAGCATATTTTCCAAACTTCACACCTATTTCCCAACAGAGTTTACCTCAGTATTAATGTCAAAGTATACTGAATTTCAAATATTAAAAAAAGTATCTACATTAGTTTTCAGTTTGAAACTAATATCCATGGTGTAACAAATTCTGATATTTGCGCTGTGTCCATTCAGATATGCCCACAAAAACCAGTCTGTTTATGAGTTTAAAAATCCATTAAGATGACAAATAAATCTGTTTCATTCTGAAATGAAAACTTTGATTAAGAATATAGTTTTATTAGGCATTTTGGTAACAAATCATTACCCTATATAGTTGACTTATTCTGTATATTTTTAAAAGTAAATGAAGTCCACTGAAGTTTTTTTTTTTTGAAAAAAACCCCAACAAAACTCATTTCTCCAGTTGCTGGGGAGTACTAAAAGCTTCGTAGACATTAGCCGCAAAGTCTCTCACTTGCTCCATCATCAACAGATCCTAGCAAAGATGACAATAAAATGTTACAGTTTGTAAAAAGTACAGATAATTTGAGTTCATTTCTGAAATCAAGCAATGAATTTAGGTCTTAAGTTGTGTGGCATGAAGGCCAAAAAACAAACCATTTAATGAAAGGACTATTTTTTTCTTACAATAAATTCTAGGAGATATTTATTGTTTAGGTTCTTATATGAGGGATGGTAGGTATGCTAAGTATTCAAGTGTGATTCTGAGAAAAGACCCAAAAATGGTCTTCAAATGCATTTTTCTGTGTGCCAAGTGCTACATAAGTATCTGTTGAGTAAAGGATTACAATACTAATGATACAAGTCTAAAGGTACTTTTGCTGGAGGCTGACATGATGTGGTTGAGGTATATTAATTTCTAGAGGACTTAATATAGAATATATGTAGTATGTCATGTGATACACACAAAAATAAACCACACATATGCACTTGAGAACAGGGTTCTTAAGGCATTTGTGAATGAAAAGGAAAAAAATTACATCTTTATTTTCATTAACCTTTAACTAAAATCTAGCACTTTCTTCAATCATGAATGTAAGCAACAATGTAAACATACATCTGTGATAGTAGTAGCAGAACTTGTGAATTTGTCTTCATTAGAAATCAGACATTTTCATGTCATGATAGTTGTAGAAGTTACATGAACTGCCATTACAGCTTGTTGTTTAATGTGTGAACAAAGAAGCAATCTTGCTACATCAATTAAACTTTAAAAAGTATTTTGAAAACTATGTAATTGGTTTCCTTTAAATCCTATGCATTTTACAATATGCATTTATAGATATTATTCTCAGAAGGGGTCCATAGACTTCATCAGACTGTGAAAAGATCCTTGACACAGAAACAGTTAAACGCCGCTGTGAGGCAGAGAACTAGGAAGTGAGCCTAAGCTTTGTGTTCCCTCTTAAGTATTAGAAACCTAAGTGAGCTTTAGATAAGTCTTGATCTCATGTCTAAATTCTCTGAACGCCATTCGGCATTTTAACTCATAGAAATCATAGTTAAAAAAATTGGTGGAAGTCTTGTCAATTAATAGCCTATTATGTAAATTTAATCTACATCCAGTCACACTTCAGAACTTCGTAAACATTAGTATCAATGGTATTTTTACTAGATTGAAACCTTTTGTTATCATTATCAATTATACAGATTTTAATTAAGGAGCACATAAGTTACTTAAGCACTAAAGTTTGCGGTGTTGTATCACGCTTGGTGGTATTCACCGCTTGTCTGTCAAGATCTGAAGAGCCGAGTGGTGTAGCCGGAGACTTGATGAGAGTGGAGAAAGGTCAAGTTAAGGTTTACATGCCAGAAGTTACAATCTTTTATTCCCACGCTGATATACATGTGAAAATTAAGTTAAAAATTAAGTGTTTAATGTAAAAACATTTGAGCTTAAATTAAGTTTAAAATTAAGTGAAATGAGATCAGCTTTATTCACTCTTCCTTCTGCAGTATGAAAGCCTAACTCTCACGGGTGAGCAAGATGGCACAGAAGACTGAACAGAACAATGAGGGAAAATAAGCATGTGAAGGACAAACTGACGACACTGTACAGAGAAAGGAAGAAATACAGCCCAAGTCTCAGTGCTCTTCATGTTGCTGAGTAGCAAGTCCACAGAGAGAACCCTTTCACTTGTCTGAGACATATGGCACTGAGAATACGCCATCTTTGCGCTGAGGCCTCGGGCCTCTTCTCTGCACATCACTGCAGTAGGTTGGAGCTGAGGTGTACCGCAAGGAAGCTTTTACTTGTAATGCAGTTTCCAAGTTTGAAAATGACGCAGAAAAAAAAATTTATGTGGATTCAAAGTAATCCTTTTAATAATATCTCTCACTCAATGCATTCTAAAATGCTTTCCTAAGAAAGAAGGAGTAATAGGTAGTCTAGTGAAAAAATTTCAGTAACCTACTGTCTATGCAGCTTTTAGTGAGCAGATTATTGGTGTACTATTAATAGTTATCCAGAGGGTGCCAAAAAATGTATAAACGTTTTAAGAAAGGAAAAACTATTAATTGTAATACTCAATATATACCTATAACAAAAGATGAATACAAGTCACGTTTGACTTCAGGAATTACAAGAGGTGCTCGAAGTGGTTCCCATCAGCGTCCAGACACTTCTGATTACGGTGAACTACTGCGTGGGCATAGATAACATCGCTTAAATGTATATACATTTTTTGGGCACTCCCAGTATTTGTTATTAAAATGTTTTACTTCTCTACAAAATTTTTTTGGTTTTCCTCAAAATTTGAGGACCTGATCTGCCTCAAGGCTGAGTATTCTCACTAGCACAACTTAACTGTAAACTGACCACTAGAACGTATCTGGACTAAAATGCAGTCTGACAGGTGTAGGATTATAACACGGAGACAGGAATTTCCAACCTCATAAATTTGCCATGATACTTTCTTACTCTCATGGGCCACTCTATCACATTACATATGGTTTCAAGTTTTTGGTTATTTTTGAACAAACATCATAGGAGAGAAATGTAATTTTATGTTAGGCAAACAGGGCCACCTCCAAAAATACAATCTATTTATAATACTCCAAAGCCTTCTTCTTACCTGAACAAAATGAGTAGGTGTTTCACTGCAAACTGAATGGATCTGTCCATTTACTATTGGAATTATCTTAGCTAAAGGCAGGCTGACACTGGAAAGACTGAAAAATCACAGTAATAATTATTATCTAAAAATTTCTTACAGATATTTAACATTTTAATTATAAAATTAATAAATAGCTATTGAAAAATACACAGAAATGTATTCATAAGAAAATAAAAATCACATATAATTCTACCACCTAGAAAAAACAACTATACTTGACATCGTGGTTAACTTCTTCAAGTAATTTTTATGCATATCAATGCTTGTTTTTTTAACGGACAACTGTAACCTCCAAAGCAATAACTGTCTTGACTTTTTATTCATGTAAGCATTTTTCATCTTATTAATATTTTTCCCGGGGGCGGCTGGTTAGCTCAGGTGGTTAGAGCACAGGCTCTTAACACCAAGGTTATCAGTTCGATTCCCACATGGGCCAATGAGCTGCGCCCTCCACAACTAGATTGAAGACATTAAGGACTTGACTTAGAGCTGATGGGTCCTGGAAAAAACACTGTTCCCCAATAAAGTTTAAAAAAAAATATTTTTCCCAAAGTTGTTTTTTAATGATTATATAGTAATCCATCTATCTGACAATTTGTATCATCAGCTCCCTAGATTGGGCATTTAATTTTTTGCCTAATTTTCCTTAATATAATAACTCTTTGTATTAACATGGGATTATTGGGTCAAAGGGTATGAATATTTTTAAGGTTTAAAATGTACATTTAAAAAATAAAATAAAATGCATATTGCCAAATGCCTTCTGCTTTTCCAGCAGTGTGAGAGAATACCCGCTCCATCCATGCCTTCTTTCTAAAATGTCAAGCATTATCTTTTTCTTTAATCTTTGTAGGTCTGATAGTTGAAAATGGTATCTCAACAGTTTTGGTATTTCTCTTAATTACTAGCAATGTTTAATGCTTTTTCTCTCCACTCCAGTGAACTGTACCATTACTTATCCGGCTGTGTAAGCAGAAAACCTAAGCATTATCTTTGGCACTCGCTTCTCCTATATTCTATACCCAATCGCTCCACAGTCTTAAATATTTCTTAAATGTGTCTACTTTTCCCCAGTGCCAAACCTAGTCCAAACTAAGCATTATCTTTTGTCTGGACTACAGCAATGACCTTCCAACTTGTAAGTATTCAATAAACATTTGTGAGATGAATAAATGCTATGTGTGATTATGTATAATGACTGTTAAGTGATTATATATGATATGTGATTATGTACGATATGACTGTTAAAAAACAGATTTGTGTGTCTTCGACAGAAAACAAATTTTTGCCTTCAACAGAAATTGAAGACACCACTATCATACAAGGCCCGTGAGGTTAGGTACCGTGTCTGCTTTACTTGCTGCATTATTCTAGCACTTAGTAAAGGGCCTCGCGTGCAGTGTGTGCTCAATTCGTACTTGTTGAACTGATTAGTAAAAGTCTTCATTCATCTACTGCTATGTCCCACCCCAACTTCCACTTTCCCCAGTCCTTCTCCATAAAGCAATCAAAGCGATCCTACAAAGTTAAACCCTGCCACTTCCCTAGTGGCTCCCAGCAGTCTCAAGCCGACAGCCATAATTTGTACGTGCTGAATTCCTGCCCCAGCTTCATCTCACACCATTCTTTTCCCCGGTCCGTTGGTTCTGCTGCCACACCTGCTTGCTTCCAGGTCCTCAAAGTGAACCTTTGTCCCCTGGTCTTCAAATCTTTGGCCTGTGTCTTCTGCCCTAAATGCCAACTGCCTCACTCTAGTCCAAGGCCGTATTTCATAGTCGCTCATTTTTAAATTTTCAGTTGAAATTATTTCCTCAGGGAAAAATCTGCTTGACTTTTCGTGTTTGTGCAAATACTTCTATTGCATGTTCAATGTCTTTTCCTTTGTAACACTTATAATAGTTTGTACAATCATGTTCACTGTTTCTCCTACCAGGTTGTAAGATCCGTGAGGGTAGAGACTACTACAGCACTTGGTACATAGCATGTGTTCAATGAATAGATGTTAGATGAAGGGACAGATGGGCCATTTCTCTCTGCTCTTTTGTGAAGTATCTGTTTGTGTCTATGACCATTTCTTTCTATGGGTGTTTTCTTCCTTAACTGATGTGTATATAATGCCATTAACTTCTTTGTATGACACACATAGTTTGCAAACATTTCCCCCAATATTATCATTTGCATTTAATATTGAATATAAAGTTAATAAAACTTGTTTGATCTATAAGTTTTAAATTTTACAATAAAACCTATCATTTTGTTTGTCTAAAGTTTTCCTTCATTCTTAGAAAGATTTCTTCCATTTTGAGATCAAATACTCGTTTTCTATCAGTTATGTTTTTAGTTTAAACCTCCTGGATACACACACACACACACACACACACACACACACACGCATGTGCACACACACACACAATATGTATGGTATAGGAGGGCTCTAACTTTATTATTATTTTACAGTTAGTCACTGTAAAATGACTATTTGTCTTATCATTTATGAAATAATATAGCTCTTCCTCATCTTCATCATGTGCCAATATCCTGCATATTTTAAAGTCTGTTTCTGGATGTTACATACTATTCCACTGATTTATGTACTCTTTTATGAATAACATATTATTCTAATAACTGCACCTCATATTATATGTTCTATAGGTGAAGTACATTCATTCCTCTACTTTTTCAATAACTTCTTAAATATTCTCACCTTTTATTCCTCCAGATCACTTTTACTGTCAATTTCTCAGGTTCAAAAATAAAGCAACCACTAATACCATTAATGGGATTTTAATGGTACTTTGGCGACATTTACAGATTAATTTTGGGAGGCTAACTTCACAATTTTAGTTGATTTGGATTTCTAAGTATAAAATCATGTCACGTTTATATAACAATAATTTTTCCCCCCTCCCTTTCCAAAACTGATATACCGGTATCATTTTCTGAGGGTAAGAATTTAAACTTGGAAAGTCAAGAGTAAGCTAACAGTTCATTTCATAGTAATAAATGTTCAGGAAGTTGTCTATTTGCAAGATAAATATATAAAAATTTCTGCATTTGGTTCTCAAAATTGGTCATTTTCCAGCCTTACAGCATTGGTTAGAATAATGATGCTGAATAAATATGTCAGTAGTGACCATCTTTTTAAAAATTTTGTAAAAAATAAATTTATTGGGTAACATTGGTTAGTAACATTATATAAGTTTCAGGTGTACACCTTTCTAATCCATCATCTGTATATTGCATTGTGTGCTTACCAGCCAAAGTCTAGTCTCCTTTTGAATAGTGACCCTTTTTATATTATTTTTAAATTTAATGGAAATAATTCTAGTGTTTTAACATTAATACAATATTTGCTTTTGATTTCAAATATTCTTTTATTATATAAAAAGTATTTCTTATTTCTAAAAGAGGTTTTATTAATAATAAATGCTAAGTTTTATTGAATGCCTTTTCAGTAACACTGAAGATGATTTTTTTTTGTGTGCCACTTATTAATGTTATGGAGTACTGTTATAGATTTCTTAATGCTTTATCCATCTTAGTAGTCTTAAAATAAATCCTAACTAGTCAGTGTGGAAGAATAATTAAAAATTCCAGTTTCTGATATGAGAAAGAAGTGATTGAACATATGGCTTTACTACTTGCTAGCTGTTTGACCTCAAGTTATTTCATTTTCTCTTAGTTTCCTCACCTGTAAAAAGAGGAAGATAATAGTAGTTACTTCCTAAGGTTATTTTAAAAAATTCAATGAGCTAATGTTCTGAAAAATACCTATCATTATACTTGCACATGGAAAAGGAAGTATTGGTTGCTATACATTTCTGGATTTCATTTGCTTATATTTTATTTAGGGTTCTTATATCTATATTCATACTTTAAGTCTATGCAGTTTTCCTTTCAGGTTCTATCTTTATTCATTATATTTTATATTGGCTTATTACTGGTGATAGAAAATTTTTTTTTTTTTTTTAGCTGAGCCATCCTGCCACCTGTTGGTAGCTCAGTGGCAGCTCAGCTCGGGCTGTGAATCGAACCCGTTACCCTGTTGCTCAGATCTCACACTCTTGAGTGAGCTCTTAACCAGCTGAGCCACTCGGCCGGCACTGATAGTAAATTTTTTGATTCTTAAATTTTATTATACATATAGTAGTACATACACATACATGCATGTTATATATAGTATATAACTATACACATAAATATAATTTGAGCTATTTTTAGTTTGCATCACTTTTCAATTGATTCTCTTGAGGGTTCTGGATTATTAATTGTAGTACAAATAAGTAATGATATTTTCTCTCTTTTCCAATAGTCGAAAACCTTTTTTCTTAGGTTTTCTTAGACTCATTGTGATGGCTAGAACTTCCATGATATGTTAAACAACAGGAATGACAGCAGGCATAATGGGAATATTTCTATTATTGAATATAAAGTTGGTTATTGACACGAAAGAAAAAAACTTAGGAAATATCTACTGAGTGCCTGGTGTATATGATGAAATATGAAAGGGCAAATACGACCTTGAGAGGAGGCTCAAAATGTAACTAAGGAATAAGACTACAGTTTAAGGTAAAACCTGTCGGTTGCGTGTGAAAAGTACGGATGAGTACTACGAGAGTTCAGAAAAGGAAGACTATCAATGGCTGATGTGCTTGCAGCAAAATTTTACAATTCTTCTGTGTTTAAGATCAAGTATTTGTTCATGTTAAAACAACTATTACAATTCTTTATTACCACTCAGGAAATAACTAATACCTTGCTAGGTAGAGATTATAGTGAAATTTTATTAATTGGAACACCTTGGTTTAGGGAGTATATAGGGACTCAAATTTATTTTTGTATAATATAAAGAATTGCTAAAAAAGATCTTAGGATGATATTTGAATTGCTTCAGAAAATAAATTTTATGGCTGTAAGCATTCCATAGCCTCAATGTTAAGTGCAAATTATTTTTTGTACAATAAAGAAGGGTCCTGAGAACTGGGCAAATAATAATCTCTTGCCCTATGTATTTAAGAATTAAATGACATTGCACCTACATACTGCATATCAGTTACTGTTTCCCGTTTTTAATGGGTGAGTTTATAGTCAGTTAACATTGATTAAGTACCTATTATTTTCTGAGTTTAATATAAAAAACAGGGGTTCTTAGAAGTGTAAAGTCTAAGAGGAGATCCAAGGTGCTCATGTTGAGATGATAAGGATATAATAAAACCATAAAATACCTTTGGCAGCATGAATCTATGATTTAGTAACTGTTATGATTCAAGGTACTAACAATAAGGGCTGAAAATGAACACATTTATGTAGTTGTAGAACTAGCAGATAATTCATCAAATGGAAATCTACAACAGGAATGCCTGGTTATTATAATGACCAAAGTATTGGGTTATGTAGGCCAATTATGGCTTGCAATGCTGGAATAAAATGAGAGAATACATTAAAACTTAAAATATTTTCAGTTTTATATTCTAAAGAGTTAAAGAAAACCCAATAATTGGAATTTGGCCTATAAATCGGTAGTTTCATAACTTAAGTACTTCTATGTAGTGGAAAAATTGGGGAAGAAATAAAAGTTTTAATATTGAAGGCAGAGGGAGTTCTAATGAAGGGGTCATTGGTTTAAGAGAGTTTAATTTGTTGAAAAATGAGCATTCAAATTTATCCTCTAATTTTTTTTTGTTACCTGAAACAAAAAAATAAACACACCCAAAGCACTATTTTATTAGATTGATAACATTTTTACACGTCATCTTACCTATTCATGGAGTTACCATGTTGCAGGTCCTGTTCAGTAGGTCGAAAGAACTCAGCCATATTGTCTAGAAGTCTACTAAAACCTCGGTTTAAACAGGTATTCAAAACTGTACTAAAATCTGGACTACACAAAATAAGAAGAATAAGTTACTTTTTAAGATTCTCAATGGAAAAGAAATTAAAAAACTGTGGCTACCTTTGACAGCCACCAACATTTCTAGTCATAGTCTAGTTTTTACAGCCTGTAACACTATAAAAATATATCAAGGAGTCAATCTTTAAAATTACCATAAAAGTGAGCTTATTATTTAATGCAACACAATGAGAATATTCATTCATTTCTCTAGATTTTCTTAGTCAGCATTTTGTACAATGTATTTTTACAAATATCAATAATAGTATTACTTCTCTTGAGGAAACTCTTGAAGAGAAATCCTCTTATAGTCATAGATTATTGATTTACTTTACATACTCCATCATGAAATCCCAGTGATTTAGGAAATGTTATTAAACTGTACAGATGAGGAACTGGATACTCGCGGGATGAAGAAATTTGTCTGATGGTATGTAATTAGTAAATAGAGGAGCTAGAATTTGAACTCTGGACTTTTTGACCTTAAAGTTCAAGCTCTTCTCATTATACCATATTAGTACTATACAAAAAACTCTTTGATATAAAGAATAAAATATGTGTGCTATGACAGTTAGAAAATGCCTAGTTGAACAGATTAGTTCTATCTTTGACATGCAGAAATCTCAATCTAGGTCAACTCATGGGAGTGGAGGGCTAAGGCTATAAATTTGGGAATTATTAGCATACAGACAGTAGTGAAAGCAATAGGGGTATATAAAATTACTTGAGGCACGTGAGGATGAAAAAACAAATACCTGGGAAACACTAATGTTTAAAGGAAAGACAGACACAGAGAAACCTAAGAAGAAATTATCTGAGAGTTGAGAGAAAAATGAAGAGATTATACTGCCATAGAAGCCATATGAGAAAAGAATTTCAAGCACGGCTTGATCCACAGCATCAGTTATGAGAGAGAGGTCAAGTAAGATGTGTATTACGGATTAACTGGATTTGGCAAATGATCACCGGTGACCTTTTCTAGAGCTTCATAGAGTGATTTGGTGGAAACCTGAATAAGAAAAAAGGGGCGATCGCTACTGCCGAGAGTCAAGGGGCTAGGACGGGATGAATTCGGAGTGTCGATTCAGTACCTGAGTTAACCTAAAAATTTGATCTTCTTCAAGATTATGAAAAAATATAAGCAGAAGATAGAATTTCCTCAGAAAACAGAACTAGAGAAATGGTCTTAAATTATCTTTAAAAGAGGTTTTGATATTTTAATCACTCAAGCTAAAGTGGGAAGGACTGGTATTACTGCTCCGATTTTACAATGATAAAACTACCTCAAAGCGTTTAAGTAGCTCAATCAGGGTGACAGCTAATAGGAGAGTCAGCTTTCAATCTAGGTCTTCTGGTCTTCTAAAGTATAGTTTGGTGCCTGGCTGTCTTCTGGGTGATTTAAAATAGTAATACTCAGTTTAGGGAAGATGTGAAATTTTTATCACTTAAAGTTTTAGACTATAATCTATCCTGAAAGGGTTAGGGGCCGTAGTTTTCAAAATTGAGAGGGGCGGGGAGAGAGAGAAAGTGAGTGTGTGTGTGTGTGTGTGTGTGTGTGTATGTGTGTGTGTGTGTACATGAAGACTGGTTGAAGCTGGCCAGCTAGCTCTGGCTTGCAAGAGCATCTCTTCCCAACTCCCCAAGTCAGCACTGAATGACTTAAAGTAGTTGGTGGTCAGAACTGCTGCGGTTACCATTTCGGTTTTTTTTTTTACATAGGTGGTTCTTAAACATTTACTCTTTACTAGTATATACTGGGTATACCAGATTCATCCTTGAATGCTTTTTTCAAAATATAAATGCTAACTATTTTCCAGTCCCCCAAGTATATCAGAATCTCTAGGCTAGGGAAGTAGGTGAGTAAGACATGGGTTATCTTGAAAAAAATCTCTGCTTCCTTCCCCCCACTAATAAGAGAACCACTAACTTAGGTAGGAGACCCTACCTACAGGCAGGACAACAGATTCAAAAATTAATTTTAACAAAACATTATGCTGAATACATTGTTCAAGAAAGACTAAAAAAAGGTCATAGTACAATCAAAATAGAAACACACATTTTCTGTTACACGCAGTATACATACCTTTCCAACATGTCTCTAGTCTCATTGAGTAGTTTAATAGTGGTGACGTCTCTAGGAGAAAGCCCACAGGCCTGTGAAATTAAAATGCCACACTTCAGGTTTCAAATATTAGCACAGGGTTATCATGAAACTAGTCATATTAATAAACTCAAGGGTTCAAGAAGTCTAAAAGTTTATGTTCTATCAACAATTTAAAAAATGTTAAACTTAAAAAACTATAAAGACGCATATGTACAGGTGAGTAGTATTTAAAACATGAGTCAAAGTAAAATTATACTTTGCAACAACTTTGTTTATCTGGCCTCTCTTGGACACATTTCTAGAATATACTTTCAAAGAAAAAAATAGTCTTTGAGGTCGCAGAGGCCTGGAATATTTTTTTTTCTTTTATTGGTAAGACATTTTATCAGGACACGTATGTGTCTTTTTCATCAATCTACTCTAGTCTGGGGCTCTGTGTGTCTTTTCGATCTCAAGATTTAGATTTTAATTCAATTCAGCAAGATGTGGTCTATCATTCCTCTCTTCACCTGTTCTTTTGAATCATTTTCTTTTTTAGTTCCACTGTCAAATTTTAAAATTTGGAAACTGTTTTATCATTTCAGGAAGCTTTTTTAATACTCTTATTGCATCTCCTTAAGATTCTATTTGTAGGTAACTTTTCCCCTGTTTCTTTCATTAATTCTGTCCCATCTGTTCTGCTTGTTCATTTTAGTCTCCATCCTGCAAGGATGCCTTAAATGGGTTGTGACTTCTTTTTGGCCTACTCATGAATGTAGGGTCTCTCAGCATCCAAACCAGTCTATCTTTGGGGTCTTTAAGGGAGGGAAAAACCTGCAAGCAACAAAAAACATGGCAGTCTTTGTTCTAATGCCAAGGCATGGCATGGGGGCCTTTCTGGCTTAAGGCTTTTTTAGTGGTCAAGTGAGAGAGATTCTTTTCTTAACTGCAAAGAATGGGTACAATCCACTCACATATGAAAAAAACCAGTAATTATTTTAAAATGAAGTATATAACCTGCAATCTTTGGCATCTTATTATTCTTAATCAATGCATTAACTACCAGTTGCTACCAGTGTGTAGCAACACCATGGTAGATAACTGTTAGATTAGGCATTTGTTTCCCAACTGGATGACTACGACTTCCTTCAGTCCATTTGATACTGCCATTATTGATTTATTTTAAAAGGTAAATGTGACTGTGGTGTTGGCCTGATTAAAATTTACCTTCTTTGTCTATAAGTTGAAGTTCAGACTCTTTATCTTGGCATACAAAGCAATTCACAATCTTGCCCCAACTATCAGCTCTATCTTTTGCTACTTGATCTCATAGAAATACACTCTAGCCACATGAATTGGTCTCCTGAGTTTCCCATGGACAATGTAATTGTAACTGTAATGTATAATAATATAACAGTAATTTCAGTAACCAATTGTCCTATTCATTGTATATCCTGATCATACATCATAGTATCTGGTACATAACTAATACCCAATAAAAATTTGCTGAATATCTAAAATTATAAATGTTTCTAAGTAGAAGTCAGTCATATTTGAAATTTGTTTTCTAAATTAATGAGGTTTTACTTAAATTATTGAAATATATGTCCTTAAATCACTTACCTCAGACATCTAAATTTTAAAGACAGTAAAAAAAAAAATTTTAAATATAGAGTAAGTGGTTTGGTTACACGGTTATGAATTAAGCACCTGAACTGCTAATGGAGTTTCTTCATCTGGCATCATATAATGGCATAATAAAGGTTTGGATCCATCTTTATTAATCCAAGAAGAAGATTTATGCTGCTCAACGAGATTCCTGATTTCTTTTAGTTTTTGCTCCAAGTCCGAAAGGGACAGAGAATGTTTAAGAGAAACACTAGAAACAGAGAAAAGGAAACTGAGATGAACTGAAACTGTGTGACACATCCCACGTATACTCTTCCTAACTGGTGACTACCTGGGATCCTGTTTCATCCAGTCAAACCTGAAACTGCTGACGGTGAAATCACTAGAGTAGATTAAGAAATCAGCCATCAGTTAAGGGGCATTATTACAGAGCCAAGAAAAATCTTGCTGCAGATTTCACAAGAAAACTCCCACTGTAATTATAGATATTACTAGTATAAATGGGAGATAAACTCTTCAGAGGAAGATTTTAAAGTAGCGCTTTTATCTTATGACCCAAATGTTTCTGGTTTGTTTGGAAATCAATCAATCAATAATGAAACATTAAAACCTCCCTTAGTACCAAAAGGTTGATAATGGTGAAGAAAATGGATTCCACAATTCAGTATCCAAGGGCGGTGTCTGTCTTACGTTACAAAGAATTTCACAAACCACCATTTGTCAAGTTTCATTAGCTTCACTAGAACAATTCTGATTTTTCTTTTATTCTTCAGAATAAGGAAGTCAGAAAAGCCAAACGAAATGCCTCACCTTCCTAAAATCTTCTGCACAGCTTGTTTAATGACAGTGATCAATTCTGTCAGACCTGTTAAAGGAAAGACAAACATAGAAGCCTTGTTTACTTTCTAAATTCCTCAGTAATACACAGGAATGAATTACAACAGTTTAAAAGTAATAAATAGAATCTCACCGTCTCCAAGGAGGTGTTGAATACTTGACAAATATTGCTGTTGGACATCTGGGGGAGCAAGAACTGTCTGTACAAAGAGAAATAAGGTTAAATTACTCAGTATTACTAATAAATAAATACTACTTTCAGTATAACTTGAGCAATTTTCAGGACCTGGAATAACAGGCAAAATAATACTTTTTTTTTTTTTAAGTTGGGGAATTGGGGGAGGGGACCAGCCAAGCTGTTCTTCAGTCTTAGTTGTGGAGGGTGTCAGTCGCCATCTGGCTTCCCGCTGGCAGCTCGTGGCCTCTAAGCTCAAGGTGCTATGTTACAGTCTTAGTTGCAGGTGGGCGTAGCCACCATCCCATGCGGGAGTCAAACCCAGCAGCCTTGTTGTTAAGAGTGCATGCTCTACCCACTGAGCCATCCGGGCGGCAGCTCAGCTCAAGGTGCTGAGTTCAGTCTTAGTTGCAGGCGGGCATAGCTCACCATCAAACAGGCAGTCTTGCTGTTAGGAGCATGTGCTCTCACCAGCTGAGCCATCCTGCCACCTGTTGGCAGCTCAGCGGCAGCTCAGCTTGGGCGCAGCATCACTGGTCCATGTGGGAATCGAATCGGCGGCCCTGTTGCTTAAGAGCTCAACTCTTAACCAACTGAGCCACTTGGTCAGTCAAAATAATTCCCTTTAATGTAACAAAAAATCTAGTTTCAAAATACAAAAAATAATAATGCTAAAAGTTTACAGTCACATGAAATATAAAGATATTTTATAGAAATTATTGGAAAAATAATATTCGGTTAAATTTTGAACCTCCTGAAACAAAGGGCAATATCTATTTAAGTCTTTTAAACTTACGGTGCCATTTTTGCCAACTGCTGCATTATCCAGGTAAATGTATCCACCAATAATGTTTAACTGGACACGCAAAAGAACAACCAACATACAGGTACTATATACAGCTACGATACTTCTTGTGAAACCTTTTATGGAGAAAAGAAAACCGTTTGGTACTATTATTAAAACACAAATAAATGTGTAAAATCACAAATTACCCCTATGGTTATTGTTTCATAAGATGACTTTAAAAATACATTTTGTAACAGTTTTGTACTAAAATATATCAATTCAAAATATTTCAAAGTGTATCTCCTTACAACTATTTAATGTAAATTAAGTATTATGTCTTAATTGAAACAATAACATACGTTGAGTTAAGGGTTACATATTATCAGCTTTAAAAGGAAAACAAGAGGACTGGGAAGCTAAGAGTTGCAGCCTCAGAACTGGTTTGTTCAGGGAGCTAGTTCAGAGGAAGAGAAGAGGACTAAACATGAAGAACTCAGCCTTCAACGGCAGGCAAAGGAGGGTGAGCCCAGTAAAGGGCTGGAGGAAGGTATGGAAACCAGGGGAGCACCTGGAGACACGGCTTCACAGCAGTCTGGGACAGAGTGTGCAAAACAGAGAACAGAGCCAAGGTGCGGACTGTTGCTAAGAGGTCTCCTGGGAGGAAAATGTCCACTGGGTTTAGCAACACAGAAGTTACAACTGACGCTTGCAAGATGTGCTTGGGTGGAGCCATGGGACTGGAAGCCAGGCTGTCGTGTGTCAAAGAGTGAGTGGGAGTGAGAAGGGAATGTAGAAATCTTTGGTATTATATCAGGGGTGTGAGAGTGTGTAATAGCTGAAAGGAAATACAGGGTACTACAAAGGTTTAATTTATTTTTAAATAGGCAAAGCTTAAGCATGATAAAGATTAGTTAAGTGGTATGAGAAGATGTAGGATTAATTGATAGCATTAAGTTCTAAGACATGGGCATGTGTGTGTGTGTGTGTGTGTATGCTCCAGGGTACCTCTTTGTTTCAAATTTTTATCACTAATGAAAGTTTGCATACAGTATCAAAGTAAAGTTACTATGTGGGTTGGAGTAAAAACTTCCTTTAAAGTGTAATATCAGTACCTAGTATAAGCATATGTGGTCTAGGACAGGTTTATATATTATTATAACAATAACAATTACAACAGCACCACCACTGCTAACATTTACTGAGTACTTTCTATGACCTGACATTGATCTACTTGCTTTGTGAGAATTACTTAAATCCTGACAACAACTATGAGGTAAAGAAGAGCCATCCACATAACAGAGTATAAAAATTTCCCTTTAGAAATATTTTAAGGATGTGCTGTCACACAGAATATGTAGGCTTACTTATAATCTTCAGATCCTCCCATATTTCTAGCTTGTTGGAAGGCCTAAAGAAAAAAATACGAAAATAATAATCAGGTAATCTAACAGAAAACTTTGAACTCTATAGCTCTATATTTAATTATAGTTTATTACAGGGTAACTGCAGAAAAAAAAGCCCACAAAATATAGGAAAACCAACTGTAATTTCAGTAACCAATGATGACAACCATTTTTACTAGAGCATTGGTATATATTCTTCCAGTCCTTTTGCTCATTTTTGGAAATTTTATAAAATCATATAGGAAAAGAAGGAAAAATGTTTCTTTCCCTCATTTATCATTTTACATAGAATGAAGTAGGTCCTATAATTCTTCAAAGGTAAATCATGAAGTATTTTTTGTTTTAAAGTATCATTACAAACACATGAATTTAAATGTATATTTGATATGCTTCAACCCACTGTAGTTATTGTTCTTATTGATGTTAAAATTGCCCATCTTTGACCAGTGGGGGGACTATTCATTTGTTTCCTGAATCCTTTTGAAATGACCCCATTTAGCCTTAGGTAGCTTCCTTGCTTATGGACACTAATTGTTGTTCTGGGTTTACCTTGTTCAATTCTTGCGGCAGACCTGAAATCTGCCATTTTTCCAAGAGTCTAGTTCCCTGTAGCGGGACATGGTAGCCTGAAACTGCGACCTTTGATTAAGGATATTCATTGCTAGTGGGTAGGTCATTATTTCTAAGCCTCTTCAGTAAACTAAGCTAGTAAATGTGTGTGTGTATCTATTTATATAAACATATATTCAAAGAGATAAGATACATCAAGAATTCATTCTGATACTTCTAATTCAAAATTAGGACCATGGGGCTTTAACTTCATGTCACTGATCATACCTCTGTATTTCTTTTTGTCAACAGTAGAAATCAGTGAAACCAATGCACTTACTAATTTGCTTTATCCCTCACTCTATCCACAACAGTCTCAGAATAGCAAAAGCAGTGTTGAAAAGACTAATGCTTTTGTTTTTCAACTCGGTGAGCTCTAAGAGCATACATCTCACTAAGAATATAGAGCCAAATTTCTGTTTCAGAGTCAGCTGGCATAGTTTCTGTCTTTGTGGTTATACCACCAACTAGACACATTTTTAGGCTAATTTGATTTACTGTCATTTTTAGACATTGATTTTTATACATTAAATATAGTTTTCTGGATATGTAAATTCTTTATATGGTTCCAAAGTCAAATTTATACAACACAGTATATTCAAATAAGTCTGTTCCCATCCCCCTTTATTCTCCCTTCTTCATAGATTATTATTTAAAAAAATATACTTTACTTTGCCATTGTTTTGCTCTATATAAGCAAATAAGTATTTATATTAATATCTGCTCCCTTAGATAAATGGTAGCATACTATACACATTATACTTTACCTTTTAAAAAATACATAACAATGTATCCTAGAGATCATTCCATAGAAATATAAAGATAATAATCATTTTCCCCCACACTGGTCAATAGATAGTTTGTTTTAAGCCAGTTTTTATTTTTATTTATTTTTTTAGATAGTTTGTTTTAATTCTCTCACTGTATGAAACTCAAGCATTTCATTTTTAGGTAGGGTAAACTAACTTCAGTAGACTGCAATACATGAAGATTTTGTTACATAGACTAGTTCCCATTGAATCAGTCAACTGCTTGTGGCTGTCTCAGTAGAGATGCATTTACAGAACTGGCTGTGTCTGGGCTGTCTTTGCAGCAGCTTTAGATCTGCACTTCCTGCTATGCAGATACGCTCTGCCACACGTGCTTCTCCACCCAGTTTATCATATGCTCTTGTTTCTTCTGACACATCATATTCTGCACAGGGATATGACAGTCCAGGTGATTCTTTACCTCCTTGTATAACTCGATGCAGCCATTCCTGCTAGGTAACCTCCAAGGCTGTTGCAATGTTATTCGTCTGGACATCAAAAAAGGAATGGTGCTTCTGAACCAGTGTCTGCTGTGACTTTTCCAGATCAGCTGCACTCTGGATGTATTTGAAGAGCCTGTTTCACCTCTTCTAGTTGGACAACTTTTTGCTCATTGAGTTTATCAACAAATTCCCCAGTACAGGCACCATATTTTTTAACTACATAGACAGTTAACCCTATTGTTGACATGGCAGAGATGGTCTCTGGTGTGATCACATGTATTTCTTTGGACAGAAAATATAAGATAAGCCCAGTTCCAAGTACACAGGGTCCTGTTACATCAGTTTTAGGATAAAGGAACTGGGAAGAATTCCTCAGGGATCAGCCCATGATGAACTTTTCCTCCACATTCAGGAAAAGGTGGTACAGGGGCAAGACTTGGCTGCCCAGGGTGAAAGATCCTTGTTGCCTGCAATACCCCTGGACCAAGGAGGGCTGCGTTCTCCAGACAGGGAGCTGCGGTGGCAGTGGCAGAATGACCACCCAGGACAACTATCTGTCTGGGGCAGGAGCAAGATGCTTGTTCACAAGTCTCTCTCTCTCTTTATTTTTCTTTTTAAAACCATGGCATAGTACTTCCCTGTGTGAATATGCTATGTGGATAGAGTTCAGTGCTTTTCAAACCTATGTGGAAGGAACATTTTTTTTTCTTTCTTATTTCCAATCTTTCATGGATACATAGTATTGTAAAATATTGGGTTGTCGGGAAAATCATGACGCATTTTTGCATTGAAAAACAGAAAAATATGCCACGACTTTCCCGATGACCCAATATAATGAAAAGAAATTACTAGAAAAATGAAATAAAACCCCACAAAGATATACAAAATACAAACTCATATTCTTTATTACTATATTCAGGAATAAATTTACATTTCAATAAGAAATTGAGTTACCATTACAATTGTGGGACAGTACCAGCTTCTTATCTTTCTTTGCCACTGAACAGGCTCTAGAGCTTCCGTTACCCCTTTCCTAGATGGCACAGGTTCGGAAGATATATGGAGTAAATCCTACAAGGTATGGCTGCAAGTTGATGCTAATGGTTAAACCTCATGGTGGAATGCTGTATTTATTCTGATTAAATTGAGAATCAACCAAAATTCAAGGACTAAGTATTTTAATGCAGGTAAATCACATTTTCTTTTGAATGTTACCTCAGAAAAATTTTAAAGTGCTTTTTATAGAAATCTAAATGAAACAAGATAAGAAAATAGCAGCTCTAAAAATTTCATTATAGGAAGTACTTAGTAGCAACAGTCTGTGGAAGGGGAAATTTGTCTTGAAACTATTTACTTGAGGTGACTTTAGTAGGAGAGGACAGTTATAGCCACACAGGACATTTCTTCATACTGATATTCACCATTATTAGACCTTAAAAGTAGATTTAAACTTAGAGTTATAAGACGAATAAGATCTGGAGACCTAAGGCACAGCATGGTGAGTACAATTATTAATAATGCATTTATTCTTAATATTTGCTGAGAGAGTAAATCTTAAGTGTTCTCATCACACACACACGTAACTACATAAGGTGATGGATATGTTAATTACCTTGATGGTGGTAATCATTTCACATGTACGTATTTTTTAAAAATAGTAAAACAAAATTCACCTTATTATCTTTTTAAAAGATTTCGATTCCAAATATATGTAGAACAGAGAAAAAACTTTCTATTTAAAGATTCCTTTCAAATGATTTGTCTAATGGAATCAACTCCAAGTTAAATACCACGAGGCTCTTTAATGTCATTGAAATATGAGTTATCTGTGTAAGAATTACACTAATCTTCGTCTCCAAGTGTTCTACCTCTCTTGTGATGTAGGCTGTTGAAGATTTTTTGTCACTGAAACTTCATTCCATGATCAATCTTCAATAAGAAAGTCAAGCACTGAAAACAGTGATGGACTGACAAAATTATAAAACTGACAAAATAAGACTACCAAATCTTTTACTTATTTCTGATTAGTTATTATCATAATTAGTTTAAAAAGAAAATTAACTTGATTGACAGGCTTATATGAGAGCTAGGTTGACTAAAAACTAATACAAAAGCAGTCATAAGATTGGAGACCTTATTTAATGTCAGGGCTTAAGCCCCTCTTTATGCAAATGTTTTTCAAATGGACATTCCTCCTCCTCCCCCCCAGAATGCAAATAGTTAAGTTCAAATCAAAAGAAAGGCAAGAAAAAATAACATGAGATATTTAAAAAGGAAACAATGAATGAGAACTGTGGCCCGTCTTAAACACTCAGGACCTTAAGCAATTCTCCTGTCTGTGTGCTGAGTAAGGAGAGGGATGACGCCTTTTCTTTAAGCTGTCCAGTATGAGCCATCAAAACGAATCCCTGTCTTTTCTAGCTGCCCACATTTTCTCCCCACATTTTGCTTCTATACCCTAGATTAAATACAATGTCTTGAATTATGATAATTTATTTCATCTACTTCTTCCCTTGGATGACAATGTCTTAAAGGGAAAGAGACCATATTTTACCTTGAATCTCCCAAAGAACAGGGGACATAGGACCTTGCAGAAAACAGTCACCAAGAAGAAGAATGCCACTATGTTTATTGTGTCTGTTTTTATGTTGCTTTTATAAATGTGCTATTCACTTATTTCATTTGTCTTGTCTCCCCAATAAGACTAAAATTTAGGGCAATTAAAATGCATTTCTTTATCCCCTACTTATGTGCATATTTCTTTATTCCTTATTTATGTTCATACAGGTGATATTTAAGCCATTAATTGAGAGTAATCTGCTTACATGTTTCTTCTTCATATAATTATATGAACTAATTTATAAACTGAGCCTTACATCTATTAAGTAGTAGTGAAAGTGTGTCAACCTCTAAGAATGATGAAATTTAGGAGGAAAACACCTTATCACTAGCATTGTACTTTAATCAGATAAAAAAAAATCCCAAGTACACAACTTCACTGGTATTTTGGGAGGTATTCTCTGAATATAGAAAATGTTTTTCAAAGAAATTTTCCAGCTTACTATTTAAGCTGTCCGAAGAGTAAATTCCTATCTGCAAAAATGGAGATGATAATATCTGCCTCAGAAGGATATTGTGAAAATTAAATGAGAGCAAGTATATAAGACATCTAGCACTGGGCCCGGCACAGACAGACACTCCAGAAATAGCACTTGCTTCCCCCTGGCTATTGAAGGATGATTTGTAAGGACAGTGAATATTTCAGTAAGTCCACAATGATTAGGATTTATTTATTGAAACCATCTCCCTCATCTTGTTCATTAAATTAAGAAGCCATTTCATCTGGAAGTCTTCTTAAATAAACACAGCACCACGTTAAATTATAATATCCCAACACATGCTGCACTCCATATGTGAGGTCCTATAAAAGGGGTTTATTACACACAGTAAACTGTCATGGTAAGGTAAATTGTCATTATCGTATGCTCACGTTATATTTTTACTTCATTTTGTTGATAATATAAAATGCAAGTCCATATGCCTTATTTATCTAAGATGTATGTTCATATGCTTTACCTATTACATTGTAATTACTTTGCGAAGCACAATGTTTAACATAACTTAGCTTCACAACATCTGGTTCAAGAACATATATTCCATGAGCATTCAATAATTAAATTTCTGAATTACATCAAAGTAATATAAGATCTACTTACATGAAAACCAGAATGCATATAAATATTATTGACCTAAATATTTTGTGCATCATGGTAGAGTATACCTAAATATTTTGTGCATCATGGTAGAGTATAAATAAATGGACAAAATAAAACAAATTCAATGATATAGTTAGTAAATATTTTTTCTAAATAAGCCTATATAAACTTTAATTAGAAAAATAAGAAAACAAAGACATCTGAGCTATTTCAGTTGATTATATCAACTTTAAGAGCAGTATATAAATGAAAGGTGCTGTAACTTGCATTTACCTGTTTTTTAGCAGAGCTGTGAGGTTCTCAGAATTGAGTTGCTGCATTAAGGCCTCTCTCAGCGTTGGCAGCATGGACAGCACTGTAATATGAACAGAAAATAAAAAAGGTCACAAGTCATATGGCTGCCCTCACTGAGACATGCACACTGCTTTAGGCTGTATGACAAGACTAGCAACTAGCAAGGGCTGGGATAGTTTTCAAATTATTGTTAATAATAATAAAAACGGATTATATACTAATAATTTATTTGCTTATGTTAGGTGAACAAAATTTCATATATACTATGATCACAGCAATGTAAACAAGTACGCATAGAAGAAAGACTGTGAAGAATTATTCCCGGGTATTATCAGTGATGGTCTTTGGGGTATGGACTACGGACAATTCTGTGTTTTCTCTTCTGTACTCTTCAAATTTTCTCTACAATAAATGTTTATTTCTGATAGAATAAATTAATCAAAAACATTTTTATTTTTAGCAATACTGTTTGTTTCACATTTTATTTCTAATTTTAGAAAAAAGTTTATTAAATACTACAAAGCAATAAGCATTTATTATAACTTAGACAAAAGCACATCAGGCTACAAATAAAGAGCTGCTAAGTTGTAGTTTTGGTTTTGCCAAGGGCTATTGCCTGTAACTCCCAAGCATAACATGAAGATAAAATAAGAAACAGTACTCTAAGGGAAAAAAAGACTGCATGTAATTTATAGGAGTTGTTTTATTTATGGCTCTATGCATGGTATAAGAAATGTTGGAGATGGGACGTGGAGTATAGTGTGGGAGTGGAGTCAAGGGAATTGTAATGGATATGTATGGTGTTGGGGGGAAGTGGGGTGGTGGATTGGGGGAGGGGCTGGTCACTTCGAGGGGTAAAAAGTGTAAGTATTGCACTGTGTTGTACAGCTGAAACTAATTCTAAATAATGTGTATTTCATAATAAAAATAATTAAAAGAAAAAAACCCAGAAATGTTGGAGAAATACATGTACATAAATTTAAAATGAGTTTCTAACGCTAAATAAGTTATGATAAAATAAAATTTAAAAATATCAAGAGGTCACAAAGGCCACATTCTAAAAGGGATAACTTTAGTGTATGATTTTTACTTCTTGACTAGGCAAGACATATTAATTACAAAATCCATAACATGATATGTTACCTTACCAAAAAAAAGCAAGTCTAGAGTCCTACATTCAGAAAACGGAGTGAGCGGGGAACTCGTTTAAAGATTATGTGGTATGAACTAAATTGAAACAATAAAGCTTTTTACAGCAAAAAAAAAATAATAATGTGGTATAACAATATGATCTGAGTCTCTTTAACAATTCTCCTGAGTGATAAGAGCTTTTTACGTTTCCTTTCAGCCTATTCAACCAAAGACAAGCCTATTCTTCTCTTCTAGTCGTCTATATTAACACTGAACAAATATGTTTCTAAATCTAGCTGGGTATAGCATTCATGTCTTCTTTTAGTCATCTGGTCTCCGTGATAAACATCCCCAGTCCAAACACAAATCACAACAAGATGACCCTTCATCAACCATGAATGTGTGTGACCTGAGAAAGTTACTTAACCTCTCTGTGCCTCTGTATCCTCATCTGTAAACTGAGGATAACACTGGATCTACCTTACAGGATTGTTGTGAAGATCGAGGCACCCAAGGCATTTAGAGCAGTGCTTCTTTGCACGTGGAAATGCTCAATAAGTGTCAGTGCTTATTATTATCCTTACTTAGCTTCTCACACATTCCAGTTTGTATCTTCTTAACATGTGAGAGGCAGAAATAGGCCTGTACTCTGACTACTGCAGAGCATGCTGTGACTACCTTGGGTCTAACCACAGACTTTATTACTGTAGTCTAAGATTAAATTAGTATTTCTAAAAGTTACAGTATGCTATTTGTTTATAAAAAGCGTATGCACAATTAGAATTCCCAATCCTTGCTCATACATCCTGGATAATTCTGTATCTGTACAAATTACTTTTAATGCAGACAGTTTATTCCAGTCTAGCACTTATGTGGGACAAGACTATTTTGCACGCTGAAACTTCATTTATGGTGTCAGGTATGTGTCCAAGCACCACGTGTGTACATTTAAGAAGCATTCCCCCTAAACCTTTAGTAAAATCATGAAGAAGGTAAAGCCAGTGGGCGGGGCACAGCAGCATTCTGTTGATGCTTTCTTTCAGTTGGGGCTAGCTTCTCGGGTAGAAAAACTAGCTATATTTACCTAAACGTACAAAAAATTTCTAGTATATCCATCACATCTTATTCGAAAAGAAAGACATTTAATCATGATTTGTAACCCCATTATCAATGCATCCAGGAGGCTAATTTGGAACGTTTTTCAGTGAATCTATACTTTGGCTCCTAGTGATCTACATATTTTATTTTTAATTGCCTACAGTCAGCTATTAATTTATTTGAGGGCTGTGAGGGTCATGGAGAGGTGCCACCACATTTTCTGCTTGGAGGGGCACAGTCAGCTGCCAGCCCTCTGGATCCATTACCATTTGTCTGCACTGCTCCCAGCCCACGAGAGGGCTGAGGGGGACACGCAGCAGGCCTGTTCCTGCGGGACTCAGCGACCAGGGAGCTTTGCCTGACACTCCCCACCAGCCCGCCACGGCTGTCTCAGAACTGTGCCAGAGGTGGAGACTCTTCTTACCTAATCTTCCTTCCTTCGCCCTTTCCACTCCCGTCAGACCTGCACTGTGGTCTAGAGGCTTTCCTCGACGACTTCCGTTCCCTCCCCTTTATTCTTCACAGGTGCTTCCGCCAATCAAGTTCTTGTACATCTAATCCCATCTTAGCATCTGCTTCTCAGAGGACCCAAACTGACACAAGGGTCCATGGCACACTGAGATGATTTTGAGACTCCAGGGCCTACCTTTTTCTATTTTCTGAAAATCTGAGCAATAACCAAAAACAGACTGTTCTTATTTTCTAACAGATCATTAAAATGTCCTTGACAGCACCACTATATTGAATGCTGAATATCAATTTAAGGAATTATGTCGTTTTTAATAAGCTACTCACTGAGAATTATATGCCTAGCACTTTATATGCACTATCTCATCACATTCTCACAAAACGTTTATGAAGCGGGATTTAGATGATCTTTTTACAGAGGAGAGAGCTGAGATTTAGATTTGCCCAAAGACACACAGATATTATGAGGCAAACTGGGAACTGAAAGGGAGCCGCCTTACCCTTGAGCTGAGCTTTTACATATTGTGTCTTACCTGAGCTGTCATTATATACCATATTTATGATTACTACTCGCTTTATAGAATGATATGTTATTACTTCAAATGTGAAAAGTCATACGCCAGCTGTAACTTTGGATGTGTCTTTTAACTTCCTTAATCTCAGCCTCTTTAGCTGTTAAATGAGACTGAACTAAAAATAAAGTTCTCTGAAACAAACTCTACTTTTAAAATTGAACAAAGAGAACCTACCTTTATAAATTCTTTCTAAATTAATTATTCTTGAAAGAAATGTCAGAGAAAGGATTAAGCTTTACACAACAACAATAATAAAAAAGCCCAAACAGGTCTGACATGGATTTGAAAACTGACACTTTAAAGTTACACCAGTTACAACATAACATCTTGTTCTTCTCACATGATTTTGTGAAGGCATTCTCCCAGTAGGTTTCTAGCTCTGGAGGATAAACTACTACCATTAATTGACACTGACTGAGTGCATATTATTGTGCTAAACTTACAGGTCTGTGGTTGCCTACTGTGTAAATTTAGCAAACTTGGGACGCTTTACTGTGACATGTAAGAGCCAGTGGGAGCAGGCCTACCCCTGCAGCCTCACTTCCTAACACTCATCCATTGCACATTCCGCGGGAGCTACAGAGCCTTTTTGCTGTTCCTTGCATGTGCCAAGCTTGTTTCCACCTCAGGTTTCCTGCGTGGCTCCCTCCATTGTATCATCTGGATTCTCCTCAAATGCCACCTCCTCAAAAAGCCTGACTCTCCTGACTGCCGTATCTTTAAGAGCATTCCCATACCCTCATAGCTTTATTCTCCTTACAGCAGCCATCATTGCCTAAAATTATTTATTTGTTGGCTATCATCTTTGTCTCTCACTAGCACATGAACTCTGAATGTCTAGGATTTTTTTTTTAATTGTTCACCTTCTGTTTCCCGATTGCTGGGCACCCCCAGTATTTGCTGAATGAATAAATACAATGAATAAACAAGCATTTATTGTATACTGATTTATATTAATTTTAAAAATCCACATTAAATGATGTATTTCAGTTAAATCTTGTGATAAATACTTGCTAGATTTATCATTCTTCCTTCACCTTTTAACTTTGGTCCCAGAGGTATGCAAATTAATATAAATCATCAAATAACTTTAGACATGTGTAAATATTTCTCTTAGCCTTACCTGTCATGTTGCATGTCCTCTGGTTACTTTCAAAATGATACTGTCGTCGTGCTTGGGCAATGTATTCTGCAGCCTCCTTTTCTTGTATTTCTCTGATTTTCTTCTGTCCATATTTCCCCAGGATATATACTCCTAAAATTATATTTTTAAAACAAGTTAGTATATTAATACAATTCATTAGAGTATTAAAAATTCCAAACAGTAGTTTTAACCTGGTTTATCCAAATATAAGGTTTATATTAGTGAGAAGCTAAAAATTACAACTTTTAAAAACCTAAATTAAAGAATTACTTAAGAACTGAGACCTAAAGAGAATGAAAAGGAGAATGGCATTTCAACAGCCAGTGATAGATGGGTACATAAGGACTAGGTCTGAAGAAACAGCAAGGAATTAAGTCTGCAAAGTCTGGAAATGCCTTTGATAGTGAGCTGGAGGTATTCTAAACGAACAGAAACAGGGAATCGTCTACATAAATTATGGTTTATGAATACAATGGAATTTGATGTAGCTATTAAAAACCACATTACTATACAGAGAATAACTCACGGTAGTATCCATGTTTTATTGTTAGATGATAAAATAAGATCCTGGAAGTTTTGCTTTTTAATGTAAGCAGGTACACAGAAAAACAGATGAGTCTTAATTTCTAACATATAATAAACAATGATCAGTGTTGAATAGTGAGATAGCAGGTGATTTTTTTCTTTCTGTTGGCTTCTCTGTATTTTCCATATTTTCATCAATCAACATATAATATTTTTAAAAATATAAGACAAAATTTTTAAAAGGAAGAATAAAAGAAAGGTATGCAGTCAGGCAGACTTCTAAAACCAGTAACTTAAGCAAAAACTAGAGGGAGCAGAGGGCACAGAAATTTCTAAATTGTAACAGTGTGAAAGTATAGGCGGGGTCATGTGGCCTGTAACACACTTTAACACATCTCATCATAGACAGTATGCTCTAAATGTGCACATTTTGGTCTATACCTCAGGGGCAGTCAGTTACCCTAACTGGGAATGTGAACACTCCAGAGTGGTTAGTTAGCACTTGATCAAAAGCCATACTCCAAGGTTTAGGCACGTCAACTAACTTTTATCTAGCATAATGAACATCAGAAATGGATTTCCACAGATTAAATTAGTTGGGTTTAAGATTCTGGATTAGCTAAAACATTTTAGTAATTTTCATTTGAACAAGAATACAAGAATCCAGCAAGTCCTTCATTCACCCTTAGGAATGGCTTAGCCTCAGACCCTCAGCTGCTAGTTTGGAGGATTCTTAGTCAGAGGAGTTAACCAAATGGCCAGCGAACCCTACAGCTGGAATACTGTTGCATTTGCTTCAGGGAAATTGTTTATACGCGGTTCTATTGTAGCAGCAAAAAGGACAACTGGTACTTCACTGAGCTCATAGAACAAATTATGATACTATTTTATCTATGCTTGTTAACAGATATTTTTATATGTGCCAGAATTTGTTTCATTATAGCCTAGCAACAAGGTTCCGGGAGTACATAATCCTCACCTACCTCCAACTGTCTGGGGCCCCCCAGTATCTACCAAAAAGAACCTAAGAATTGGCATGACCTAAATAATTGGATTTGGCCTATTTGTCACAGATGGGAAGGAGGCAGCCCTCTAGGAACTGTAAAGCAAACACATGTCCAGAAATATTTTCACTAATACAAGCATTATAGAAGAACTGATAACATGCTATGTGTTCCTACAAATAATTAGGCAGGAATAAAGTATGACTGCTGTTATGTCGGTATGCAAATAAATATATTATAATGTAATCATGCTTAAAGAACAAATAAAAGTTCATGTGTCTTGCTTCAGAGCTACCTTTCTTGTAATCCATCTTCAATAAACTGATGAGAGTGCCACAAAACCAACAAAGAAACTGGCTTGTTTCACAAAGTAACCCTTTGACAGACAAATGTTACTTAACAACTACTTCTCAATGAATTGCTTGTATTTTAGTTGTACAACAGATTGCTTAGTTATGTGTAAAATTATTATTTCTCAAATAGTAATAATGTAAAATGAAATACTGCAATAATGCCCTTTGTATAGCTAAGAATTTTCTGGAATAATAGTAAATTTGATTGGTATATGTGTTTTCCTGGGGAGAGGCCCCACTGTTCTCATTAAATTCTCAGCAGTGTCTGATAATTTTATTTTTTTAGGAACTACTATATTTGATTGATAAATGTAGTAGTATGTTCTAACAAAAGCTAAAGGAAGAAAATGAATTGTTTGGGTTGAACTGTGTCTCCCAAATTTGTATGTTGAAGCCCCAGTACTTCAGAATGTTACCTTATTTGGAGTTGGATCTTTATATTGGCAATCAAGTTAAAAAGGAGGTTCATTACGGTGGTCCCTAATCTAATCTGACTGGTGTTCTTATAAGAAGCGGAAATTTAGACCCAGACATGTAGAGAGAAGATGATGTAAAGACACAGGGATATGGACGAAAAGTGGGCTCTGTAATACGTCTGACTGAAAGTACTCTCACCGGGTGATGTGATAATAAACTCCTAACTGGGCAGGTCATGTGGTGAGTCACACCCCAGGCCTATAAGAAGGTTTATCTTTGCCTTAACCAAGCCCTGTCCACTGTTCTTGTGTATCTAGGTTAACACACCTGTGCAGTGCCAGAGTAATCCTCTTTTTTAGACACCTTGAAGGAGTAACCACCCTGCAGGGAACACAGTCCTATGAATAATCCTGTACCTTGCTTTCTCTCACCTTCATGGAATCTTCTTTACATTCCCTACTTAATTCCAAATGTATAAAAGAAATTGCAAAACTCACCTTCTGGGGAAGTTGAGGTCTTGCTCCCCAGCATACAGGTATGTTGTCAGTTCGGCTTAAATAAACTCTAATAAAAATTCTGCACAGGCTTGGATGTTTATGTCGACAGGGAGGAGAGGGCCATCTACAAGCTGAGGAGAGAGGCCTGGAACAGATTCTTCTCTTACAGCCCTTAGAAGGAACCAGTCCTGCCAAAACATGGGTCTTAGACGTCTGGCCTCCAGAACTGGGAGACAATAGATTTCTGTTGCTGAAACCACTCAGTTTGTGGTACTTCATTATGGCAGTTCTGGCAAACTAACACATGGGATTAGGCCCAAATTCTACAATCTCTTCTTTTTCTTGAGTGAGCACTGAAACAAGTTCCTACGCGGTCTAATTTACCCAGGCTCTCATCCCCAAAATCCATAGATTCTGATTTTGTCAGATTTATCTCCGTAGGAAAATAAGAATGAAGAGAATTAATTAGCTAAATTATGGAGCTCAGGATCGTGTGATCCTGACTGGCTGCCTGAATTTGGGCCTAGAAGACAGCAGATACTGATGGCTGTGGCACCAGCGAGGCAGGCAACTCTGAGCAAGTCTCTTCCTCTCTCTGGGTCTAAATTTCTTTAGTCATAAAAGGATGGGATAATATGAGCCTTAAAGTTTCCTCTGTAGCTATGACTTTATTTATGAATAAATACAATATTCACTAAATACCTCAAAAAATAAATGTAAAATGTTTCAAGGTTTCCTTGCAGAACATTGCTGGCAAAGCAAAATATCTTCCGGTATTTCCATATTATATATTTGGATTTTTAAATCCATTTTAGTCTCCTCTTCCTGGATGAAAATCCCTGTAATACAACTATTTTACTAGGTTAATAATTTCAATAAAAGTTTGAAAATAATCTATTAACATCGTTCCCAATCCAAAACCCCCCCAAATCCTGCTCTTCTGATTCGATTTCAGAAAATGTTTTCACATTTTTTCAACTTAACTCCAGCTCCTTTAACACCATCTTCTTTCAGACCTTGAATATTAATGGATTAGAACTGGTTTGCTGGCTTCCTAACTCTCCTTTTTTGTTTTTGGTCTCACACTTTTCCATCTTTTATATGCAAAGTGATTTTCTAAAACTTAAATATGACTACATTATTCCTGTGTTTAAAATTCTTCAACACCCTCCATCATTTCTTAATGTGAATTCTCTGTTCCATTTGCATCAGAATTATTTGAGGTACTTGTTTAAAAAGCAGCTTTTAAGGAGGTCCCTTGAAAACATCCCCAAATGTCTTATCTTATAAGATGCTGCAGTCCCCAATACATGATGTTGGTCCACAATGGGAGCTCAGTAAATATTTGCGGCGAATTAATGGACTAACCTCTGGACCTAAAGAATCGGAATCTGGGAACAAGGATTCTGTCTTGTTATTCAGCCCACAGTGACTTTTACCCACACTAGGGTCTGACAAGCACCGACACACAGGATAATGTCCAAATCCTGTAGAATGGCACAGTTAGGAAGGCCCTTTACACTCTGCACTCTAGTTAGTTCTCCCAATTCATCTTTGGCCATTTCCCATGTGCTCTCTGGGGTCAGCCATAGTGAAAAACACTTTGACTCATCAAAAGTAACGTCTCTGAAAATGCTGAAAATCCCCTTCCCTGCTGTGCCCCTTCTCCTTTGCTAACTGTACAACTTAAACCACGCGTGCTCTTGAGCGAAGCTTGCCTGACACCTTGGTGTTTCTCTGTCCTCTGTGCTCCCACAGCACCCTGCTCTGTTATAGCACTATGCTCCTTTTGCTCAGTTCCATTTCTGCTTTCTGAACTGCACCATGAGTCCCTCAGTCAAGAACTGTGTCTTATTCCTTTTTTGATGAAAATCATCTAGCTTAAGAGAAAGCTTATAAGAGTTTAGTTGAGCCAAACTGACAATTGCTGAGAAGTAAAATCTCAATGGATTGAGAAAATGCTCTGCAAAATGACAGTGTGCTTATTTTATACATTAGAATCAAAGGAGGAGGGTTACATGAGATCCACTGGTGGTAGATTAAGGGGGAGGGAGAAAGCAAAGCGGGGAAATCTCTGGGATTGGCTAAAAGTAAATTGGAGAGACAGGTACTCCTTTCACATAGGTGGGTGCGCGATAGTTAATACTGCACATAGAGGTGTTAATCAAGGGACAAGAATAATAATGAGAGGTTCTGTACTTTCCTGCTCTGGTCTGGAAAAAGGGATTACTGACATCCCATGGATGTCATCTTAGGTGCAAAAAGACAATAGACAGACTCACTTAAGGTGAAGACTGACTTTATGAAGGAAGCTTCAGGCTAAAGATGTGACTTCCCGCCATGGCCCACCTTAGTAATGAATTTTTTTTATTCACGCCATCTTATGTGGTTATTTTCAGGCTCCTGACTTGTCAGGTTTATCCTGCGGCCCCTTTTCCGTCCTCACCTTTGTGTTCCCAGAGCCCGACAAAGTGAGAGCAGGCACTTATTCTCATTCAAATGATTGTTGAATGAAAGAGCGAATAAATGAATGAAAACCTTAAGGGACCAGAAATTACAGGGATTAAGGTAAAAATTATAAGTCAATGTTCTGGAAGTTTTAGAAACCAGCAAGCAAGAAACATGAACCTGGTTGTTCTCTGTTCTGCAACGCTCTCTAGTGGAGTGGTTCTCACAGTGTGGCCTGGGCACTACTGGAGATGTTCACTCCCTCTCAGGGGATCTGTGAGTCAAAACCACTTTGTAATAATACTAAAACACTATTTGCCTTTTTCATTCTCATTCTCTCATGAGCGTACAGTGTTCTAGAGGCTACATGATATGTGGTATTGCAACTGACTAAATGCAGAATGAGATATGAGAATCAAGCTTTCTTCAATTAAACCAGAGAATACAGAGATTTGCAAAGATGTGAACAATGCCACTCTTCTCATTAATTACAAAAAAATTTCTGTTAATATATGAGTTTACTGTTGTTATTTTTAAATTAATGTTTTTAAATTTCTTGGTTGTAATTTCTAATAATAGATACAAATTTTAAAAAGCTCTTTAGAGACCTTAATTTTTAAAAGTGTAAAGGAGATCTCAAGCCAAAAAGTTTGAGAACCATAGCGCTAGTCTTTGCATAAGCTGATCAAATTGTACAAATTGGTCTAAAGCAGATACTTGTCCAAAATGCAGGAAATTTCTACTTAAGAAGGTCTGTTAACTCAAAGTTTTTGTTTAGTTTTTTTTCTCCCCCACTATTGGCCAAACCGGTAGAACGTCTGTTCTTGTTTTCTAAGTACTTGTGTAACCAAAGCATGCAGTTAGTGATAATATTTTTCAAAAAATTCAAATTCTAAAACTTCCTTCTTAACATTCCTACTTTTTCTTCTCCTATACCTGTCTCACATGGCTTTTTATTCTCTCCTTCACATCCCTGCTCATTCTGACATGACTGCCATATGAAGAAAAAAAGGTTCTCAACATTATCTCTCTCCAAATCTCCTCTCCTCCTGTGCAACTCTGTCGTCAGCTAGATGGGCACTGATCCCAAACTTGAAAAGATCCTGGGGAAGACAGCACAACATCAAGCAAGCACTGCCTTACTGCATAGTTTACTGCATAGTTTGTATTCTAAAATAGCAGAAACAGAGCTAACATATTGATGTGTGAGTTTTTCTTTTTTTTTGGGGGGGGTCTCATATATATGTGTATATATATAAATATATATATATATATATATATGTATACACACACATATATATGTATATATATATTCCAGGCCTTTTGTACGACTGTGCTGTTTTCAAAAATTCAAATGAACTTTAAACACCACTCGAAATGCCGGCTTTAGGTAACTCTCCTAGGATATTACGAAACTTCTACCGAGGGCGAGAGCCAAGCAAAGTGCCGGGAGTGCCAAAGAGAAACGAAGACTCTCACAGGAAAACAACAGAACTAAAGAGCATGTGTCTGTAAGAGAACGGTGCCTTCAAACAGCCCCTCCAAAGGCCCGCGAGAAGGACGGACAGGCGAGAGCCAGGGGAAGGGGCGCTGTCAGGGCAAAGGGCACCCAGTCCGCATCTGGAGAGATGTGAAGACCCGTGGAGGGTTGTCACCCCGCTCCCCATCCGACGGCTGAACGAACCCCTTCTACGCATCCCGGACTATGGTCGCCCGGCCTCTATATTTTAGAAGACAGTCACCTCTCTCCCACCCCCGGCTCCCAAGGCCCCTTTCCAAGAACCCTGTCACCCACCTCCGAGGACCGTGCCCAGGAAGATACATTTCTTTTTGTGACGTTTCAGAAAATTCCACATAGATCTCAGCATCTTCCGGCCCTGGGGGTGCGGGCTGCCTAAGGGTGGGAGGGTGGGTCACAGGAAACCGTTTCTCTGTCACCTGGCCTGGGCGACCCGGCAGGACCGTCGCTGTCCCGCTGGGCGCTCTGCAGAAATCACAAACGCAACTTTCCGCAGAGACTGTCACCGGAGCGGGAAGGGGGCGTGCATTCCAGCCGAGCAGCTGCGCTTTCTGCTGCTGCCGCCGCCGCGCCGCCGCAGCTGCTCACTGGTCCCGGGCACCCGGTCCGTCCGGAATTAGCTCCCGAGTGCCTCGCCGTTCGACTCCCCCCCGGAAACGGCGGCCCGCGCCCGCCGCGTTCCGTTGCCTGCGCTCTTCCGTCGCGGCAGCTTCCAGGGCTCAGCTCGGCGGCCCCAGGGCGGCATGGAGGGGAAGGAGGCGTCCACGCCGGCTCCTGGCGGCGGGTTCTCGGTATCGGCGGAGGAGACCGAAAAGTGGATGGAGGAGGCGATGCAAATGGTGAGGAGCCCGGGAGGTTGGATGCCGCGGGTGGGAACTTTCTACGGTTCTCATCCCAACCTTATCATTTGAGCAAACGTCCCGAGTGCCTTCTCATCACCACAATCTCGATGGCGCTCACGTTCTCGGGACAGCCGAAATTTCACTTAGCCCATTCTAACTAATGGCTTTGGGGAAGGAAGAGAGGAAATACAGAACGTCTTTTTCCCTGGCATGAAGTATGCGCCAGATACCCCTACCCAGTTGCTGTTGGCACGTACGTGCTGCTCCCCCTTTCCCGTGGACACACTCGCAAATCCGCCAAGTCCCATTATTTTGTGTGTGTGACCCCTTGAACCCATCAAGCCGAAGGAAAGAGACTGACTATGTTCCTGGTAGAGAGCAGGATAAAAACAAGTTCCTCTACAGCCAGATTCTTCCATTCGCCCATCCATCCTTCCGACTGCTTTCTGTCCCTTTACTTCCTTCCTCCTCCCCCTTCGAGGCTGCTGATTAAGGAGGGCGCTCATCAGATTTTTGTATAATCCAAGCTTTACCCGTACTTAAGTTTGCCAGCGAGCTCTTTAACAGGGATAAAAGTGTGTTTGGCATATGTATATGTATATGTATATGTATACATATACATACATACATATCTACATATATGTGTAAAGGTATATAAATACGTGCACACATACATATACATATGTGAAATGCTCCTCAGTTTTACATTTCTCTAAAGTTGCTGTAAAAGAAACCTTTTTCATACATGGTTTTGATTATATTCTTCCTATCCTAGTGGCCACAGGTCTCCTATAGTTAATTAATTACATAGTTATGTCTTCATTCACTCCACAAGCGTTTGTTGAGTGCACTATGCTTGTCACAGGGGATTCGGCCCGAAACTCATTTCAGTGTATTCTCTGTTCTCTTCTCACATTTCCCCTGCATTCTATTCACTATTGCACCCAAATAGTTTTCTCGAAGTCTTGATGCATGAGAGCATCTACCTATTTGTTTCTGTTACTTACATAATGTTCTTTTAAACTGGTTTCTCATACTTTTTTGAAAGTGACTCACAGTAAAAAAAAAATCGATTTTATGTTACAACCGATAAACACACATGACTATAATTGAAACAAAAGTTTCGCATAGTAAGTACTTAAACTTATTATGTATAGTTTTCCTGGTGTTTCTCTTTTAATTCATTTTGAAAAAAATGCTGGTCATGACCCACTAATTTCAACCACATTCTTTAACTCCACTCCATTAAACTTACAGGATACATACCCTTCTGTCTGATACTTGAATTAATGTTCTTATATGCCTTTAAAAATTAAATTTGTAATATGGATTTGTTTGTCCTGAATTCCTTTTGTGTTACTAAATTTTCCCAAGTTGGAGACGAGTTTTCATATGATATCAAAATCTCACTCTCCTTCCCCCAAATCATTTCAATAATACCATAAGCTAGGCAGCTTCTTAATAAATAGTAAGGATGATAATAAATGCACATGACAGCTGAAATATCTTGGAGTAAGCTGCATTTGTATCCGTCTGTGTGAGAGATCTGGAGGGCAGATGATGCCTGAATGCTGGGAAGTCAGAATTTGTGGTCTCTCATTTCTTTTCATTTGCTTCAGGAGCTCTCCTCTTAGTATGTGTGTGTGGAGCTTGCTTAGATGAAATTTTTAGAGATGCTACCACAGAGGACACAATAGTGGTTTCAAAAACACCTCATTTTAATCAGTCATTGAACTTTTCCACTTTGTGTATCAGAACTGTGTTTTCTTTCCATCCTTTCATATTTTGGGTCTTTATTTTCCTTTAAGCATCTTGTGGTCCTGATATCTTGGAGTATTTCATCTCCCCACCTCTGCACTATTCTTTAGACTTTTGGACTAAACATGTAAGTCCTTTTACTACTTTTTGGTGTGACGTTGGGGAAGTCACTTCATCCTCCTAGGGTTTCATTTCCTACTCTATAAAATGAAATGATTCAACATCAAATATTTTCTCAGATCACTCTGGCCTTGACACTTTTTTCTCTTAATTGGATTATAGACACCTAGGGGTCTCATTACCTGGTTTATGTACTCCTACACAGG